TGTAACAATCTGCAGACAGATTTCTGAGCATCTCCTCCTTTGGTATACAGATCCTCACTGAGCCAAGTACTGTGAACAAATAGTTTCTCAGTGATATTATCCAGCAAGGTCTTGTTTTTGTCAAAACAAGGGTGAGGTAATAAAAAAATAGAAATATTTCAATAAATTAACATTAAAATTATTTATATGCATAATAAAAAAAAACATGTTTTGAAATATATAAAGTGCACCAAACTTGACTCAGTCCATTCAACAATTCTAAATGGACAATTATGTAACTCATCAATTAATTATTTGAAAGGATAATTTGTCAATTAAATGCTGAGAAAAATAAACAATACATTAATGAGGCAAGAACTTTTTAAACTTGAACATACCTACACCCACAAGTCTATTTTTACCTGGTTAAAACCATCTAGCTTATGTGCACTTTTTAAAACACTGCCCAGCAAACATTCGGACATTTAATGACAGTTGAACGGTCACAACTGTAAAATAATATCACAGGAATTAGGAAAGAATAATATGACATCAACTCTATGTTACTTGGCCGGACTCGAACCTGGATCCTCCAGAGTGAGAGTCACCCGCTCTCCCAGCTGAGCTATGCCAGCAACTGCTGTATCTCAGATTTTTTTATATAGATAGCTAGAGAGTAAAGTGCGGGGTGAACTAACCAATCAGAGGACAGGGAAGATCTGCCACAGGCCACGCCTCCAGAGTGCCAAAACTCCTCACAGCCGAGCGAGCGGAATTAGAAACCGAGCGCGCAGAGGCTGCCGAGCGCGCAGAGAGGCTGCCGCGCGCGCACGTTTTCCTCTGCTGTGTGCTCGTTGGCAACGCGCGCACGCAGGTTTGTCACTTGTGCACATCCTTGTGCGCTCACAGACACAGTTTGCTCCCTCTCAGTGCACAAATGACCTCTCGCCATGTATATTTTCGCTCGCGAGTCCCGTTCACGCGCGCGCTGCCATGTATATTTTCGCTCGCGAGTCCCGTTCACACGCGCGCTGTGGACCCAATGCGCGTGCACGGGTTGTGACACGGGTCTGACGCGATAAACTTCGGCAGGTCGTATAGAAAGTGTTGGGTGGCTTCTAAGTGATTGGCTGATTAGATATTCCTGTTGTCAGACCCCCAGAAGAGCAGAAGTTCATTTACATCACAGAGCTAAAACCACAGAACAAGGAAACTACGGGAGACCTTGTTTTTATCTATCATTTACTGTGAGTCAATGACTTCATTATCAGGAGGTATTGATCGTCTGGTGGCGGGGCGACAGCAGGTCGGTTAATAGATGGTGGTTATTTCAGCTGAAGCTGCGTTTATAGACTATGAGGTGCTTTATACGGACGGATCAGTGGTCCGGAGAAGACGGGCTGTAAACTCTGATGATTATCGACCTCACAGGGTTTCATATTTAGATTAAGACTGACACAATCAGCAGCATCTGCAAAGGTAAATATCTCTTTGGTTTTCTAAACATAAATGATGTCTGGGGACATTTGCAACCAGTAAAACCTTTAAATCTATTCACATGAATTATATAAGAACAGACCTACAAAAGCTAACATTCAACCCTCGGTTTTCCAAAAACACCAAATAGTTTTTGTTTTATTATATTAATACTGATAAATGTATTTGATCCCTGGATGTGTTTTGTCTTGCTCAGTCACACGATGGTGTTAAATTATTTCATCCGTGCAGCAACTCTGACCCTGATCAGTGAGTGCTTCTGACTCTTCTTGACCTCCACAAACAAAACCGCAGTCACAGCCATCAGCCGGAGAAAAACGGGTGAGATGGGGAAGGGGGATGGATGGGGAGGGCGGGAATAAGGGAGGTGAATCTTCTGTGGAAGTTAAGGTAACGTTTTTTTTTAATTCTCTTGAAATATCTTAACAGTTTAACTGAAAATATAAAACGTGTTTATTCCCACCAGTCAGAACTTTTCATGGATTCATGCCGGCTAATTTTACAGAAAAACAGATGATTTGTTTCTCTTTAGACCTTTCTGGGATTGTCTCTGAGACCAAAGCCAGCGTGGGTGTGGGGAAGAATGTGTTCGCTCAAGTTCGGATGACAAAACAACGCCAAAACTTGTTATGACAGCTGCTTCTCTTGATCCTTTTACTACGTTTTATTTTAAAACTCTTAATTATTGCTCTGGCGGATGATGGATGATCTGGGCAAACCAGACTGAGGACAGGATTTGATAAAATCCAGTTAGACAAGTTTAATCTATAAACCTATCTGCAAACAAAGTCCGATGCACTTTATAGTTTGTTTGAGTTTGACTTAAATGAATGTTTGTGTAGTCTCGGCTCCTGATAGATTTAGTCAATTAAAAATAGGGCTGGCCAACAATTTTTTTAGCTGAATTAGCTGAAGTATTTAGATAAAACTATTAATTAAAAGTCAAACCTTCATGTCTCAAAAGTCACACGTGTACTTTTATCAAAAATATACTTAAAATGTATGTAACATCCAGTGACTGTAAATTACATCACCTGTAGGTTTCTGAGGCTTCAACTTGAAGCTTAGTGGGCGGTTCTGATCACAGCCATCTTGTGTCACACATCTCCACACCTTTGGACAATACAAAAATGGGCAAAGAGGTGGAGCTGAGAGCGGAATTTAAAGGAACTCATTCCGCCACTGCTTGCAGCTACAAGCTAACAGCGCTAACTGAAGCTAACAAAGTTTTACTGGAGCTTAGCCAGAAAAATGCAGTTGTGTGATACTAACGTGAAACACGCATCAACTCACCGGAGTTTCATTGGCTCAGAGAGCTCCAAGAGTGAAAAGCACAGCCTCAGCCCAGTCTTTGCTGCTCCACAGCAGCGGAGATCAGCTTGCCGTGGTGGAGCTTTGACCGCGGGATTCGGCTGCCGGCCCGCTGCAGCCACGACCCAGGAAGACGATACAGAGCCTCGATACCCAGCCCTGCCAACACGTCATATTTCTGCCCATTTTGACCAAGCAGCTTTAAGCTAAATGCCAGCCTTTTCACCCCATCGCAGCCCTTTGGTTAAACCATTTAAAGTTTTTTTTTGTAAAGTATCTTTAAAAGCACAAAAAATTCTAAATAATAAGAAAAAAAGTTAAAAATAAGAAATATATGTTGCAGTTTTTTTGTATTTCGGGTTAAAGTGTCATGAGCTCTAAATTTGCAATTCTAGAATAGTCACAGCCCAGAGGGAAATAATCTCGAACCCCAAAAGTAGAAAATTAAGTAAAAAGGTTGAACGCATCATATTATAAAGGTGTTCCTTTTCAACCTTAACTCCCCCATAATTAGATCTCCAGTGGGTGTAATGCAAAAGGTGATAAATCTATGAAATAAAGTGCTGCACGCTTATGTGAGAGAATGGGTTAAGAAGAAAAACAGATGTATTTTATGGATTACTGATAGGATTAAAATGACGCTAAAGGTGTGAAAAGGTGTGAGATTGGATCTCTAATGTCAAAGGAACAATGGAGATGATGAACAGATAAGACTGGTGTTTATTTTATTTTCTATACTTTCTCTTCTGAAGAAAAAAAAAAAAAAGTAAGTCGGAACGACAGATAACAGGGAGATGATCAGAGGATGAGTTTTAGAAAGAATAGAAAGAATGTTTCATATAATAAATTAATATTTGGCCACTTTTGTCAGACAGAAACTTATTCTGACGTTAATCCTTAAAGACAAACATGTTAGAACAGAACTTGTTGAACTCTGAGCTGAGCCGAGCCGCATCATGCATGTTTTAGAGTTCAGATGAAAGACACCGGATTTGAAGTGGATACAGGTTTGTTTCTCCTAAGAACCGTTGACAGAGTTCCTGTGAGGGTTTAATCCACGCAGGTGAGCTTTGTGTGTGTGTGTGTGTGTGTGTGTGTGTGTGTGTGTGTGTGTGTGTGTGTGTGTGTGTGTGTGTGTGTGTGTGTGTGTGTGTGTGTGTGTGTGTGTGTGTGTGTGTGTGTGTGTGTGTTAGCCTGAAGACACTCACAGGAGGCTGCAGCCACACCTCTGACATGTTTCACACTGTGAGGTCATCAGAAGGTCAGCGCTCTGTGCAGGAAGAAGCACACTGTTTCATTTTTATAATCCACGATATACAACATGTGAGTTAATAATCCACTAAACAGGAAATAATCTTGTTTCCTCCTGTGGACCAGTTTAAATGGTCTTCCTTGCTGTTATATCTGGTGTGAAGTGAGCACAGATCAAATTTTCTTTTGTGAAAAATGACGCAAACCAAACTACAGAGCTGTTTCTGTCATTATGGATGGGTACCTTTGACATTTGAATCAATCCGGTGTCGGTAAAGGATCTGCTCGGGTGCAAGATCGGCTCGGGTCCGTCGACTGCCGATGACATCAAAGTAGTTGATTGGCTGAACATGAACCTTACGGAATTACATAATCACGTAACGTTGTTATCACGTGACGGTCCAGGCAAATTTTTTCTATTGGAAAGATGGACAACTTTTACAAAGAAATCCATCATTACCTCTTTGAAAATACACTTTTAGCATAGAGCTGCATGCATATTAGGGCTGAACGATTAACTGCATGTGCAATTAAATTGCAATGTGACAAAAGGAGATTTTCTAATGGCAAAGGCTGCAATTTGGCAGCGAGTGGTTAGCGCAATGCTAATATACATGGAAAAACCCATAGGAATGCTAATGCTAATATCGCCGATTACATTATTACAAATTATGAATTAGAAACGTGCCAAATGATTACATTTGGAGTCTAATAGAAAGTAAAACTACCATCAATCAAATAAGTACAGACAGGTATTTTAGTAAAGCCAGAAAACTTTTAACTCCAGAGCTTTGCCTAGCAGCTATGAGCGTAACTGAACTACGCATGGAGAAGACGTCAAAAACTCAACACAAATACTTCAATAAACGGGACACACTTCTTTCCTGCAAATACAATTTCACAGGTGTTGCTAATACCTATGATCCTTCAAGGGATGTGCTCAAAGAGGAGTTCAACATGAATCAAATATAGTGTTTTATTTTACAAATACTATTATAAACACAAACTTACGTCTTAAGAAACATTATTTTAATAACGAAACTGCTAAATTCTTTCCAACAGTATAGATGTGTAGTGTATTTTGTCCGAGTGGGTTTGCCGTACTTTGACGTCATCGGCAGTCGAAGGACCCCGAGCCGATCTTGCACCCGAGCAGATACTGTACCGACACCGGTACTAATTCCCGGTACCTACGAATCGATACCGGTACTTAACGGTACCAATTTTCGATACTTTTGAGTGTTTATTCTTTTAATTCTCTTTTATGATGAAATATATATTTTTCTCAATATATAACAATATTTGATAAATATCACGATAAATAACATACAACTGTTTGAATTTTAACATCATCCTTGTAGTTTTATAAGCTGATAATTAAACTGAAGCAAACATCTTTACTGTGAACTAAATTTACTGTGTATCTTCATTCCTTTTGCCGTCTTTTTTCATTTGATTTTTCCTACTGGGAAGTTAGAATTTCTGAGGAGAAAGCGAACGCACCATTAACTGACAACAATGGTAGCAATGGAAGCTAACATACCAAGCTAACGTTATCTTAAAGTTTATTTAGCTGCTGGAGCAGATTAAAACGATGATGCCTCACACTTAGATCGTTGTCACTGGTTTCGTCTTCACCCAATCACCTGCCGCATTTAGTAAAGTGAAGCCAAACTTTAGAGCGCGTTCATGTTCTTCTAGTCGGGAATTTGGAGTTCCGAGGAGAAAGCGAACGCACCATTAGCGAAACGGAAGCTAACATATCAAGCTAATTTTATTTACCTACCGGAGCAGATTAAGATGAGGATGTCTCACTTAGATCGTTGTCGATGGTTTCATCATCACCCAGTTACCCATCACATTTAGTGAAGTGGACCCAAGCTTTAGCGTTCGTTCTTTCTACCATGCTGCTCTGTTTACAACTGGCTCGCAGCGAGCGACGACATAACGCTCTTGCGCATGCGCAGCTGTCTTGGCAAGTTCTCGTTATGAAGGACGGGTACCGAAACGAGGCACCGTTTGAAATGACGTGAAACGGTGCTCGGTCGGTACTATGGAATTCGGTCGGTACCTTAAAAAGTACCGAATTCGGTACCCATCCCTATCTGTCATTCAGCTCAATTATCCTCTTCAGCATTCAAACAGCATTTCTGCAGACAAATCAGATTCTTCTAGCTGAATTTGATTTTTTTAGTTCAGCTCCATAAATAATATTTGATTAAAACATAAATAAATAAATAAACAGTACTACTACACTTTCCATCCAAATGGTGACACACAACCCCTTCCAAAGACCAAACTCATGCACATTTTTTATGTTGTTTTAAAAAGAAATTCAGCATAAAGGTGGCAGTACAGAAGCAAGTGTATGGCACTTGAAAAAAGATCTGCCTCCACATTGAATGAAATCATCTGTCCGTCTGTCTATCTAGCTATCTCTCCCATGACCAAATTATTGTGCATTGTCACCCCTCACCCTCTGAGATACAAATGGAAACAAATTGAAATAAAAAAATTGTTTATTAATATCAGCCCAGTTTTATTTACCAATATGTTAAAAAATGACTAATATTGGTCGATACCTATTGTGCAACCCTAAATGAAACATGTCCTGATGAGCTTTTGCCAGGACATTTCTGATTATCCTTTTGTGACTATATACATATATACATAGTACACACACGTATATAAATATACGTGTGTGTATGTGTGTAAAACACAATAAAAGTCATAGCTGAGTCCTATTTATTTAAGGTTTAACTCCTAACCCACCCAGGTAGAGATGGACAGATGGGTTTTTCTGATGATGATACCTATATGTAGAGGTCATGGTCAGCCAATTTTAAGGGCAGATTTTCCTTGCCGATATCTAGATGTTTCCTACCTTGTTTACTTGCTAGAATGTCACTAAAAACACTAAAAACAACAGTGGATGAAAAATATTTCTGCACCTGAATCAACTCTAGAACACTGAATTTAACCAACTGTTGAATTGCAATTATTTTTGCACGGTTCATAAATAAAATCAAACATTTGATCAGTTAATCCATAAACTAACCAATAATTCAATTAAACCAATCAGAGCAATAAATAAATAAATAAATAAAATATAAGGTAGATGATGACATATTTTTTCTAAATAAATTCCTATTTCTTTCTTTATTATCTCCTAATTCTACTTTCTACAGACAAGTTTCCTCTCCTTCTTCCTCTTCTGTCACTGCCTGGGATCACACAAGTAACTGGAGTGGTCTCCCAGCAACAAGAGGGAGGGTTTGTGCAACAAAGATATCTTCCAGGAGTGAAACAGATTTTAAAGTCCTTAGATAAATCACACAGATCTAGGCAATAATAAAACAGATTTAACCAACAGGAGAGATTGAGCGTGGGTGAAGGAAAGCAACGATTGACTGCAGGAGCAGAGAAACACCATAAGATAAAGTGTCCTCTTTCTTCTCTCTCTCATCCCTGCTCTGCTTGTTTTTAACCTTGTTCCCTTCGTCGTCCATCCTCAGCCGCTCCCTCTGAACCACATTCACTTCTCTCTGGCGCCCACAAGCGGTCAGTAAAGGTAAAACACCCTTTTAAACTTCAACATTTATCCGTTTAGCTTATATTTGTGAATAAAACGGACAGAAATTTTTCTGACATGGTTCTTATTTTTACTCATATCTTACTGAGTTTATTTCTCCAACAATCAGTGACCCGACAATATAGATAACTTGGATGCTAACTATCCTGTAAGCTAACTGTTTGCGTTCATTTGTATCTAAAAAAGAAAAAAAGTTGGTTAAAAAATTTAGGTAATAAAATTAGCATCAAAAGCTAGTATAGTTTCACTAAAAAGTAAAAGTGCAAACAACATCAACAAATTAAATTACTTACTTATTTTTAGCTACTTGACGAACACCAGGGTAATGGAAACCATTTTTGTTACCATTAAAAGCCCCGCCCTACTCTACCACTGATTGGTTAGGATTCTGAACATTTCTGACCAATCAAGATAGTGCTGCGTTCAATATAACTCGGAAAACCTTGTTTTAAGCGTGTCTCATTCTCATTTCGTAAGACTTGACTGTTATTAACGTGTATTTTTTGTAGAATCAATTTTAGAATGTAGAAAATGTGAAGTGTACGTTGAATTTATATGCATTATTAATAGATCATGAATGATCAAAATGTACACACTGAGGGACAAAGGAATTTTCTATTCTATATAAATTTCCTGGTGAATTTTGAAAGACAAGTTTATATTTTGGTTTTAAACAGACCAAATATTTATGGAAGCCGGAAGGAAAACACCAAACCGAAGAAGAAGCAGGATCACAGAAGAAGAATTGCTACAGGATACAAATCTCCTGTTACACTTATGCATCAGTTGCTTTATTGAGGCAGCGTTAGAAAATTCTGTCACCATCCTCTATGGTGAGGAATGACCTATAGGAGCCAATACATTTGTTGTCTTTAAACATGTTTTTTATAAACAACTGCCTAAAATAAAAAGCACAATTACAGCATAGAAAATATTTCCAAAACATCTCTGCATCATAGCAGCTAACAAGTAATTTGTTTACCTAAAGTATCATAGATACATACACATGTTTACAAAAACCTTTCTTGTAAAGCTTATCTGTAATCTCAGTGTTTATTGTTGACATTACCACCAACTTTAAAGGTAAATCTTTTTTTTTTTTCTCTTCTGCTTCACCACAGGTCCGGCTCCACCCAGACGATCCTCCTCTGCTCCTCCCAGATGACGGTGCGCAGGGCATTCAGCAGGGAAGTCTGGTCACACCAAGAGTCTGGGGACATGTTGTGGTACAAACATGGCAGCTTGTCCAGCATTGGTTCTTCGCTCCTCGAACACGCCAGCAGCTGTTCCTCTGACTGGTTGTGGCGCTGCAGCTTGGACCTGAAACAAGGCAAACATCAGATAATACATCCTCACAGACTTTGTACAAACTGCAGAATACAAAAGGTAGACGGTGTACGCAGGTGAGTCCAATAAGCCCCTTTCTTCCTCTTGCCTAAGGTCAGGTAGGAAAGGTCTAGAAAGGAAACCAGACCAGATCTTGTTTGGTGTTCCCAAATAAACTCTTCAGGAGTTTCCATGGTTTCCTCTGAGGACGAACATTTCTCGAAAATATTGAGAAGACACAAGAAACCATGAGGAGGGGCGCAGCTCCGTAATGTACGCCATGTTCAGACATAAAGGTGTTTATATGCACTCACGGCACCAGGATACCTTAGGCCACAGCTTGATGATCGACTTTGTTGTCGTCTCATCTGATCTGCGGCTGCATGTCTTGGACACTCAGGTGAAGAGGGGGCGGAGCTGTCAACTAACATCTACCTGGCAGTGATTTGGCTTTGATTCCATGCTGTAGTTCTTTTTTAAAACACAGAACAGTTTTGTTACCTGTTTTCCCGGTACGTTTCCACAAACGAAACGTACCGGGAAAACAGGCGTGGGAGGAGTTTGATGAGACATGGAGCAAGACATCCGTATGGCTTTGAGGAGATTCTGGTCCACCATCTGGTGCCTCAGGAGGAGAAACTATTTATAGTGGGGACGGTGTGCTGCTGACTCTACTTTGGACATTGGGGATCCGTGAGTGGAATACTTTGAAGACCTCCTCAATCCCACCGGCACATCTTCCAGTCAGGAAGCAGAGTTTGGGGACTTTGAGTTGGGGTCTCCAATCTCTGGTGCAGAGGTCACCGAGGTGGTCAAAAAACTCCTCAGTGGCAAGGCTCCAGGGGTGGACGAGATCCGCCCAGAGTTCCTTAAGGCTCTGGATGTTGTGGGATTGTGTTAGCTGATGCGGTTCTGCAATATTGCGTGGACATCGGGGACAGTTTGACTGGATTGGCAGACTGAGGTGGTGGTTCGCCTATTTAAAAAAGGGTGTGTTTCAACTACAGGGGGATCACACTCCTGAGCCTCCCTGGTAAGGTCTATTCAGGGGTTCTGGAGGGGAGGGTCCATTGGATTGTTGAACCTCAGATTCAGGAGGAACACTGTGGTTTTCGTCCTGGTCGTGGAACATTGGACCAGCTCTATACCCTTAGGGGGATCCTGGAGAGTCCATGGGAGTTTGCCCAACCAATCTACATGTGTTTTGTGGATTTGGAGAAGGCGTTCAACTGCGTCCCTCAGGGGGCCATTGGGGAGTTACTTAGGGAGTATGGGGTACAACGAGGCCCTCTGATACGGGCTTAGGTCCCTCCTAGCCTGCACACATAGATGGGCCCCAAAAGATTATAAATGGGCAAGTCGTATGGGTCCCACTAGGGTTCAGTGTTTCCCTTACATAGGCGTAGCCGTGGCGGCCCGCCACAGCTGAAATCCCACCGCCATGCCTACAAGATCCCAAGTTTTATAGATTTTTTATTTATTTATTTTTGCACCGTTTCCCGAAGAAGCAGCGGGAACTACTGTGTTGTTGCTTGTGATCACAGCCGGCAGGCAGCAAGGAGGAAGAGGCAGGGCAGGGTGGTTACAGCGAGGGATGAGCGTACGGATAAAGCATTTTTGACGAATACGAGCATGAAACGAGTGTAAAACTCGTAAATATCTGTAATCGTGCTGAAGGAAACTCCTCATTGGGTAACTGACTGTCTTCACGCTCTGTGATTGGCCAGTCACATTGAGCGCCCGCCCCTCCCTACACACAAAACTCTGCAGCCGGCAGCTCAGTCCAGCCCAGGCATCCACACACACACACACACACACACACACACACACACACACACACACACACACACACACACACACACACACACACACACACACACACACACACACACACACACACACACACACACACACACACACACACACACACACACACACACACACACACACACACACACACACACACACACACACACACACACACACACACACACACACACACACACACACACACACACACACACACACACACACACACACACACACACACACACACACACACACACACACACACACACACACACACACACACACACACACACACACACACACACACACACACACACACACACACACACACACACACACACACACACACACACACACACACACACACACACACACACACACACACACACACGACACACACACACACACACACACACACACACACACACACACACACACACACACACACACACACACACACACACCTCTCTGTGCTTGCTTCACTGTTGCTCACGTTTCTTCGGTGCTCCCTAGGTTTTCTTCAGCTCGCCTCTTTTTTGGTTAAATATTTAAAGTTACTTTTTTCGTAACGTACGTGGTGCATTTGACAAGACAGAGCTGAAAACGGCTCGTGCATGCGTCAGTCACTGCCTCCGCTCCTGTCGGGTTTATTTAAAATTATTTTAACTCTCTCTCCCCCCCCTCTCTCTCCCTCTCTATCTCTCTGTCACACACACCTTAATCAACATTGTTTTTTTTTAACTGTGTGTGGGGAAAAATCTGTTTAATCAAATTAAAATAAAATGGTTCTAGTATTTCATATTTCCTAGTTCCTACTGCATGAGTTCAGATGTATTAATTCATGCACTTAAATATTAATGTTCTGATTTTATTGAAAAACTTGTTCTGTAATAGTTCCTTTACTGTTGTGATCAAAAATATTTAATCTCAATTCTGAGGCTGCTCTGTAAATAGTTTTCAAATAATACACATAGCAACTTCTGATCAATTTCAGATTTAAAATAATGTATTGATGTAAACCACACCCACTAATTTCCAAATAATAAATAAGAGGTGCATTCATCTGTGTATCTCCTTTGATCCACATTAGTGATGTTTTCAGCACCAGAACGATGAAGCAAAGAAACACATTCCTGAGTTTATGTTAGTAATTTTATTTATTAGGTTCATCTGACCTGTTCTATTTTTCTCTGAAATGAGATCAAATCAGTGCTTCTATGGGTTGTCTCCAATCTGCACTAGAAAAATGTACTTTATTATAATGTTCACTGTAATGCATCTTGATGTTCTTAACAAATAAATTAATTCAAAGATATTGGTCAACAATGACAAATATGTAAATTTGTGTTTCAGTCATTTTTATACTGGCTTAAAAATACTTCATTAAGTCTACTAAGCAGGGGTGTAGAGCGTTTTTAACAGGGCCAGCCCAGTAAATGATAATGTAAATGACCCGCAATTGTATAGCGCCTCTCAGAGTAAGGACTCCAAAGCGCTTTACACTACAGTGCATCATTCATCCATTCACACACACATTCACACACTGATGGTGATGAGCTACGATGTAGCCACAGCTGCCCTGGGGCGCACTGACAGAGGCGAGGCTGCCGAGCACAGGCGCCACCGGTCCCTCCGACCACCGTCAGCAGGCAAGGTGGGTTAAGTGTCTTGACCAAGGACACAACAGCAGAATTCTCTGTCCGGAGCCGGGATCGAACCTGCAACCTTCCGATTACTGGACAACCCGCTCTACCTGTTGAGCTACTGCTGCCCTCTAAATGCCCTCCAGTAATGATCTTGGACCAAAATAAAGGGGGCAGAAAGTCAAATAAAGGGGGCAAAAGAAGATGTTTTTCCAGACGCCAAGAAAAATTAAATGCCAAACCCCCCTGCAGAGTGTGTCACTGAGAGTTTAAAACAGAAATTATTCTTGTGCAAATATTGGTGTGTTCACCTTTAATACTAGTTATTAAAATGCAGCAGTTGCTGGATTGGTGCAGTTCAAAGTGGAGTGCATCAAATAAAACAATATTAACATAAAGGTGAGACGTGTCATAATCCCCCCCCCCCCCCCCCCCCCACACACACACACACACACACACAGCTGGAAAAATTCCTCGGGGAAACACTGAGGGTTTGTCTGCAGTCTCCACGATGGCCCCCAGGGGTTTGCCCACAAAGACTCTAAACCCTCTGAAAACCCATGTAGGGCCTGTTAAAATCTACGTGGGCAAAGATCTTTCTGAGCAAAACCCTGGCATGCCTTCTCCGGGTCAGGGATGAGGTCCTGCCTCAAATGGAGGAGTTTAAGTATCTCGGGGTCTTGTTCACGAGTGAGGGAAAGATGGAGCACAAGATCGTCAGGCAGATTGGCACTGCGTCTGCGGTGATGCGGGCGTTGTACCGGTCTGTCGTGGTGAATAGAGAGCTGAGTTGGAAGGCAAAGTTCTCGATTTACCGGTCGATCTATATTCTTACCGTCACCTATGGTCACGAGCTTTGGGTAGTGACAGAATGCATGAGATCACGGATACAAGCGGCCAAAATGAGTTTTCTCCACAGGGTGGCTGGGCTCTCCTTTAGAGATAGAGTGAGAAGCCTGGTCATCTGGGAGGGGCTCGGAGTAGATCCGCTGCTCCTCCACATCAAGAGGAGCCATTTTAGGTGGCTCAGGCATCTAGTTAGGACGCCTCCCTGGTGAGGTTTTCTGGGCACGTCCAACCAGGAGAAAACCTAAACCAAAGGATAACCTAGGACACGTTGGAGAGACAATGTCTCTCGGCTGGTCAGGGAACACCTTCCCTCGGAGGAGCTGCCCAAGTGTCTGGGAAGAGGGAAGTCTGGGCCTCTCTTCTTAGGCTACTGCCCCCATGACCTGACCCCGGATAAGCAGCCGAAAACAGATGGATGGAGGGAAAGATGGATGGACGCAGCTCTACTCCAAGTCTCCCCAGCAGGTGGAGCTCCTTATCTCACCTCTAATGCTGAGCCCAGCTTTCCAACAGAGGAAGCTCTTTTCAGCTGCTCATATTTGGGATTCTGTACCATTTTCGCTTGGCGACGTCCTGACCACAACAGACCAGAGCAACTTCCTTATTACTAAAACAATGTTCTGATGTGTTGGGTCACCTCTCTCTCCATCTGACCAACAATCAGGATGAACTTTATCCCTGAAGCCTGATCTAATAACGGTCACAGTGCAGCTTTTTAGAGAAGCGACGGCATGAAGGCAGCCAGTCTATACCGGTAGACTTCTGGATCTTGTGGCAGAAGGATGGAGCTAAAAACTTTTCAGGGAATAACTTTGTTGTCTAAAACCACCTGCAAATAATTCAGGTTTCTCTTTGAACTCTAAAAGCTCTGATCTGTTACATAAATGTTAGTTAAAGATTATTTGAGCCTTGTAGATTATGGTGCTGCGTCTCTTCAGATGGCTTGCTTCCCACTAGTGTAGTATTCAATTTTGGAGATCAGGAGTTTAGATGAGCTCCTGTGTTGCTGTGAGTAATTTGAAGCTGTTTCATTGGCTCCTACAGCTGGCCAGATGAGGAGGGGGTGTTGATATGTAAAGTGGTGCGACTGATCTGCAATAATCTTTATGTGGTTGGAACATGGCTCCACACACCAAAAACAGGATGCAGGTTTTAGCGGATACACGATGAGAACCACAACCTCACTTGTTGGTGGTCATAATGTTGTGGTTGATCACATTTACCACGGTGGAGTGGTATTTTTAATAAACTGGAAGTTTAGGGAGAAGGAGAGGTTATTTACCGGAGTTTACGAGCACTGCGTGCAGACTGGCCGATGAAGATGATGATGGGGAAGATGTTGAATCGGTGCAGCCGGCGAACGCAGTCCATACCCAACGGCAGCACACAGTGGATACCCTGCAGGATTCAGAACAGAACCGATCAGATCCATCAGACTTTAACTTGATCAGATAAAATTCTGCGGTTTAAAAGTCAAGAGAAAAACACCCGTCTGTTGTATTTTGTTTATTTCATTGAATTTCTTGTTTTTGATCTAATGTAATCCGACTACTCATATTGTTCTGACCTTCTTCATGATTTTGTCAACACTCCTCAGGGTGTAGAAGCCGTTCTCTCCCTGCTCACACTCCTCCAGGATCTCGGATCTTTGCACCCGGGCTGCCTGTTCGCTGGAGCTCAACACCTCTGGACGAGAGACGGAAGGAAAACGTTATTCTCCACATGATAACTGCTTATCTGGAACAGGTGCGACTTCATTTTTTCATGCACGAGTGTTTTTGTTCTTCGCTGCTCTAATGATGAAACTTTCCCACAAAGATCAACAAATATTTATTTTACCTCAGTGCAGGAAGCACCGGCACACACTCACTCTTTATAGCCTCTGTTGTGATTCTGATAAATATTTGCACATGTGGTTTATTTCCTTCCTGTCTTACAGTAAAACCATCAAACATGTAACGCTTGTGAGAAACAGTGTGAGGCTAGCTAGCTGAACATCAAACAGGAAGCAGAGGTATCGTAAGAGCAGAAAAATCTGTTTCCTACCGGGCACACAGAGCTCAAAGCCCTGCCAGCTGGCTAGCTTCTTGTCCAGGATGCGACCGAGGACGGAGGGCAGCAGCAGGACAGGTCTGCACACAGGTGGGAAGTTGGGGGTGACCAGGGTATAGGGCATGAGGGTCATACAGCTTTTAGATGGAGACAGAGGGCCTGCAGGGTGGGACAGGTAGAAGCAGGCGTTTAAAACGTGGATGCTACAGCAGAATGAATGAGAAGATTGTGTTTTCAGGTCACCCTACCAGACTCTGTGCCCTTTGACTTTTCATTTTCCACGCTGACCCAAAGCGGGTTCCAGCCCTGGCGCCCCGTGCTGACGATCCTCACGGCCTTGTGTGTGCTCTGATGGACGACTCGTCCATCCTGCTGACGGAGGAGGAAACATTTACACTCATGCTTTAGATCTGATGGCTGGTCAAAGTCTTCCAGATGATTCTGACCTTTTGACTCTTCTTTGGCTGAAAACTCAGATCTTCGATTGCTCGGATCAAAAGTTGCTGAGCCCTGTGAGGTGGAAAAGTTAGTTAGCGCTGAGTTCTTATTCTTGCTGTAACCACTGGCATTGACCAGGGGTGTCCAATTCTGGTCCTGGAGGGCCGGTAACCAGCAGGTTTTGTGGTTTTTCTGCTTCAACACGCTTGATTAGCTGGTTGAATCACCTGTGCAGCAGCTCATCAGGCTCTGCAGAAGCCTGTTAATCACCTGCTGATTGAAATCAGGTGTGTTGAAGCACGTTAAAACGAAAAACGTGCTGGATACCGGCCCTCGAGGACCAGTATTGGACACCCCTGGCATAGACAATAAATGTAGGTGTAAGCACATAAATGTGGAAGTTGGAGCCCCTAGTGGCTGGAGGCAGTGCACGTTTTAAGCCCTACTTCCTCTCTGTAAACAAATGGGCCGTATTCTTAAATAAACACAAAAAAAATACACCTTAGATGTTGTTTCCAGGTGATGAATTCTATGGTTTGCTTATGTTTTGTGTGCCGGGGGTTAGATGGGGCCATCACTGTTGCTCCAGATGATCTATGAACGGAATCTTAAGGCCACACTTCGGAATAACAGATGAGTTAAAGTCAGTGGGTGTAACCTCCATCTGCTGAGTGGCGCTTCATAGTTTGTGTTTTTGATGTATTTTACAAAATGTTTTCCTACTTTATAATGCGTGTCTAATACATTGTTACTTGTTCGTTTTTACAGCCCCCTGCACGTTGAGCACTAACCGGTAATAATTGGGCACTGTGCCACTCTGCAGATCCAGCAGCTGACGTGGATGAACCCGGCTGGCGTGCCACAGATCATCGGCGCCGGCAGGTAGAGTGTTCGTCACGTGCAGGACGTCGTTGCAGGACACGGCCATGGTCCCACCGGCACCGGCGGGGATTGACAAATTGACTCGGATGTAGAAGGAGTCTCCTGACGACGTCTCGCTGGTCTGCAGCTGCTGCAGCAGCGCCTCGTAGTCTGAACAGAACGACCAGGACACTGAATCACTACAGAACCGTGTCTGCATGTAACGCTCATATTTAACATAGACTGGTAAAGGAAATAAACGTGTGTGTGTGTAATTAAACATCTGCTGAAGCAATCTCAGCACTCAAGCATCCGTGTGAGTCATTTCTATTTAACAGGTCGAAAGGGCTCTTTGAGTCATCTAACGTTAAAAAACAAAAACAACAAGCAGAACCAGATGGGTGCTTGCCAGTGTTGCTGCTGCCCTGCCAGAGCAGAAGGAATGTGGACAGAGGACGTGTCACTGCCTCGGAGGCTTCGATACACCTGAATGTTGTTAAGGTGGTGAGGGTGCACTGAGGTGGAAACTATGCAGCTGGCGTCACCATCTCACAGAGAACTGTTCCTTTGTTTTGTTAAAACAGTCACAGTGTGGCTGATCGTGAGAAAGTGGTTAATAAAGGTAACTGTTCTTAATGACAACAACACTGCGCCCATCGAGAGCTATTTAACAAACCAAAAACAACCTATAAACCATATTTACTCTTTGTGTTTTTCAATGTGCAGGAAACTCGTTTAATCAATACATTTGCAGTGGTCTCTGGAAGGAATGAATGCCTTGCAAGACGTACTCAGGGCAAAAAAAGCCCAGGATTGCTTGGATCAGCATGGACAAGTCTGCTGCAGCAGAGAGGGGCAGAACACCGCAGGATTTGGAGTCTTATTTCCTGATATTTGGACATCTGGCCTCGGATTGGATAACAGCAACATGACTCTACCACTGACTTGTAACACTGGTGTTTTATCTCTACAAATAACACAAGTCTGGAGGTGTTCTGCTGTGTGGTGGAGTTGCTAATGCTAACGGTTGGCTTTTACTAGCCGAGACATGCTTTCCTGTTTCCTGGACAATAAACCAACAATAGCCTTCCCCGTCGTGAGCCACAATGGGTGAGTCCATGAATGTTACGTGACAGTGTGATGTCGATCTGTCAGGATTTTAAAATCCTAGAGTTTCACCATCTATTTTCTATCAGAAGTGAATGCAGGAGATAGATGTAGGAGACTATTTTCATGTTCAGCCTGCATAAGAAACTCAGAGTGACCGATTATAATCAGAAACAATCATTAAAGAACATAAAACACAGACATTGTCTTAAATACAGCTGGTTGATCACCTTGTTGTGCTGTTATTTCCTCGTTTCTCCAGCTGTCACTTTAATATCAGGACAGTTTACTTCCTGAACATTTCAAATCAGCTGCAGGCAACAAATTGTCATTTTCAGCCAGAGGATATCTGTTAAGTCACTACCATGTCTCTTGTTAATACTTTAAGAATTTATTTTAAAAGGAATGAGAGAATGTGACCTATTGGACACTTGTGGGACATCTAGCTATAGAATCCAGCGTCTGTGGGACCTACCTGCTTGTCTGGGCCGGAGTGAGAGGTGGCACATGCCTGTGACCTGGCCAAGAGCCCACGTAGCTTCTTCTAAGGTGGAGTCCTCCAGCACCATCTTTAGAGCCCTCTTGTTTTGTTCACATCCGACCTGAAGGACAAGGAAATGATGAGAAACACCCTCACCACACGTAATTAATGAGTAATCATAAATCCACACCCACCTCCACTATCTGCGCCCCAGGAGTGATGCCGACAGTGTGAGCTGCACTGCCCTGATGCACCTGATGCACAAACACTCCAGTTTTGTTTCCCCCCACAACAGTCAGCTGGCTGAGCAGCGCCTCCCCCTGGAAGGAGATGCTGAGGACTCGTCCGTTGACACGAATGGCTTTGGGACGAGAACGCACCAGGAAGGGAGGGGCCGAGGCTCTTGAGTGGCTGATGGGAAGAGGGGAGACAAGGAAAGGATTAACCTTCAAATGAGTCACTGTTTCATGTCAAAGTTAGTGTGAGTGCACCACTCCAGCTGATGATTAAAGCCATTAGTAGATGGTTTACAGACATGCTGAGTTTAACAGCACACCAAGATAAAAACAGTGATGTTTCCCACTTTTTACATGTTTTTAATCAGATGTAATGTAAAATAATTAGCAATAAATCCAAGCTGGGGCTAAATGTTTTGGTGCATAAACTGAGTAGGAGGTGCAAAGGGAACCAAGATTAAAACAAATGTTAGAGCTGCTCCCAGTGGCCCATTAGGGTCACCATGGTCACCCCACAACTGTGCGTCTCACTCTCTGACCACAGAGCGCTCATCCTCAAACAGCTGACTTCTGAAAACTGAAAATCCCTCAGAGAAAAACAGCAGAGAATTCTTTCCACGGTGTTTGATGCAGACGTGAAGAGTTATTAGGAAGTTTTAGAAAACTCAAATGTCAGAGCAAATGACATCATCAACTGTTGGAAAAACATAATCCAATTTCAGTCATGTAAAGTCCAAAGTTTAAATGCTGAATTCTGCCTTAGGAGGCGGAGCTAACTCACTGCTTCACATATGACGCATCACAACCAAAAGGTCGAAACACACTTTGATTGAGATGTGTGTTTTATCAAGAGTTGTGGAGCTCTGAAGCATCAGGAAACGTTAATGTTTAACGTAATATTCAAACATTTTTTTAATAAACTACTGATTCGGGGTGCTGCGTACCTGACAGAGTTGGAGTCAACAGAAGAGGAGAGCCAGGCTACCTTCTTGTCTTCTTTCTCTACTAAACACAGAAAAGGCTTTTAGTTAAGTCATAGAAGCTCCAGACCTGAACAAGGAGTAATCAGATTCCTCACACAGAAGCAGATCATCTCAAACGGCACAAATAGCCAAAAATAAAAATTCTGTTTTTTATGCGTACCATCAGGAAGGAGCACAAAATCGTCCAGTAGAGAATCTGTGTCGGCCGACTCCAAACTACGAGAGAAAAACAAACAACGTTTACTTTTATTAAGTAAAAACATGCAGGACTAGTTCAGCGCAGACTTTTATATTATCTCACGCATCACTGCATGCTTTAAGTCGTGTGTTTATTCATAGCTTGACAGCTGACGTGTCACGCTCACTCGTGTGAATCAATCACCCAACTGAAACTCAGGTTACACCGGAAAGAATGAATGCCTCACTTTTCTTTTTCCTGCTGCAAGTTTGTAAATCTGTAAAACAACCCACAACTATGTCTACTGGAAATTACACAAACACACACACACACACACACACACACCTGCTGTCTGCGTACAACACCTCCTCTCTTCGCCGGAGAGACTCTGGACTGGGCGGCTGTGCGTTTCTGGAGCGGACGCTGCTCACCCCGACATCTTCGCTCTGTAAACAAACAACCATGAAACCAAACAACACCAAATGTCCTTATGTGGTCCCTGAAGGGTTGAACGATGATGGAGTGTTGAACTGTCCCAGCACGTCCCACACATCACCTCTGAATTGAAGGAGCTCAGGGACATGGGGTTAACTGCGTCCATGCGGCGGAGTCTCCGTCGAGGTGGAAGTGGACTTTCCTCACTGCTGGATGTGGGGCTGTCCCAGCCAACCCCCTTCTTCTTCAATCCAAACACACCATTAGATATTACACATGCTTTTGTTTGTTTATTTGTTTTAGTCTACAACGGGATGCGTGTTGTAAACATACTTCAGGACTCATCTGTTGTACTCTGGGTCTGCGGTGGGCCTGCATGGTGAAGACGGTCTCCTGGAGCTCCACCAGCTGCGTCCTCAGGGTGTCCTTCTCAGCTAGGATGTTAGCGATCATGGCCTGAGCCTCGTCTCTGGACAGGTAAGCCTACAAACGCAGACGGAATTCATTTCTGTCCAACACTGAGCCGTTCCATAGATGCAGACACACCTTTGAGCTGCTTTCACGCAGAAACAGAATCGTGACTCATGAAAAAAAAAAACATCTTCGCAATGGAAAACATGATGCTGCTGCATTCAAATGTGAACGTGCATATTTGAATCAGCTCGTTCGAATGCAGCAACATCAGATTAGGTTCTTGTTGCTATAGAGATGGAGAGGAATGCAGACCGCTGTCGAAGTGGTGTCAGCTTTCTGCAGGAACAATAGATAATGGAAGCTAAAAATAGAAACTAAAAGTTAATGTGCGTCTTAAACAGTTACATATGCATAAAAAAATAATCATTTTGAAATTTGTTTTAAAGAAAATTCAAGATATTTAACAAACTAGGCCACATTTTCTACAAAAATGCTGAATGATGTTGCTGAAAACTGCTGAAGGAGTTTAAAATATATTCAAGTGTAATTATGTTTGAATTATTGCACTAAAGTAAAATTATAAGTTAGAACGTCATCTCATTTTTGTGATAATAATCTTTTAATAGCACAAGATTCAGCAGCTGTGTTGCAATCAACTGGCCACAAAGTATGCAGAGCTTATTTAACCAGGGACTATCCCATCAATCACAGCCTGAGTCTTTGGTTTCAGCTCAGGGAAAACAGCCAGGTGTCACCTGCACAGGTGCGCTCGTTCGTTGCATTACTTTTATAAAAAAAAAACTTTGCAATGTTTGGTTTCTCTTAATAGAAATGAAGAGTGTTGCCTCATAACAGGAAAAGGTGCAGCAAGCACCTTTACTTTGGAAGGGCGGCTCACAAACAACACGTTCCTCTTCAGCAGAGGTGAATAAAGTTTATCATCAGGTAAACATCTGCAAACCGACCAGGTAGGAGTTGTGCAAGAACCAAGAGAAGTGGTTGGTGAAGGGGTTCAGCTTCAAGTAAACTATAAAACGCGGAAGTTATGCACGAAGAATCCTAAATACCTGGTCTCGCTCTGCCTGCAGTTCTCTCATCTGGTTCTGGACCACGGTGCTTCTCTGCTGATGCATCTTACAGTCCAGGGACAGCTGCTGCACCTGAAGGCTCAGACTCTCTTTCTGATCTAAAAGCTGACAGAAAAGCAACATTTAGCAGGTCAACGTGTTGCGAAGCTTTCCACGGGAAGACAACCATCGATAAACACACAAATTAAAAGAAGGATGGGACTGGAGCACTCGGGTTCTTTTTTTAATTACTGTTGATCTTAGTTGTGAAGCACCAGTACTCAATCGGATGTAGTGCAGAGTGCTTGTCGTTATCTATAAACACACATTTCAAGCTGTGGGAGGTCAGTTTCTATTTTAGCCATTTGGCTGAATTTGCATCGGCCTTCCTGACCAATGATGCCCTCCACAGAAACACACACACACACACACACACACACACACACACACACACACACACACACACACACACACACACACACACACACACACACACACACACACTCACCCCTTCTTTGTCTTTGAGAAGGTTTTCATTCTCCTCCCTGTAACACTTGAGCTGCTCTGCCAGCTCTACCTGACTGTCGATGGCCTCGGCCAGATCCTGGGCCAGGATGTCCTGACGAGCCTGGATGGAACGAGCCAAGAAACAAACTGAGAACAAAAGTAGCTGCTGAACGATCAGAGTAATTTAGGAGCTTCTTCTCACCGGGTCGAGCATCTGTGCCTTCTCCAGCTGCGAGCGCAGCATCCTGACTTCCTCCTGCAGCCGTGGCATCTCCGGAGCAGAGTTACACCGGAGCGAACGCTGCTTCTGGATCTCGCTCTCCTTCTGAAGGCTCTGAAGCTCGGACTGCAGCTGATACACCTGCCTCAACACAAAACAACATCTCAACATTATGCTCTGCTGTTTGTTTCAGCTGTGTTAAAAACATTTATTTCACTTATGTAATCCAATAGCATAACTCGACATAAGAATTTTCTGCTGTAGTTTTTAAGTTCAAACAAAGGTTTTGCATTTCCTTATGATCCGATCACTGCTTTGACGTAGACAAACATTCTTCTCCATCAGGAACTGATCAGAAGGGCATCTCCTTTGCTCCAGATTTCATAGCTTTTTGTTGCTGCAGAAAAATCCTGTTACATTTTTACGAACTGATTCCAATTCTCAGAGGCCCAAAATAAGTTTAAGTGACATATTTTGACCTTCACAAGGACAAACTCTTTTCTAACACAATTAAACATCTATTTTCTGCTGTGTGATGAAATCAAGTTTCTTTGGTTCAACTTAAATCAGTTTACCTAATTTAACATTTAACCAGGACCAGTTGGGCCTGATCCAACCTCCAGGATCTTTTCACCTTCCTGGTTCCGGTTCTTAAACAATTTGCACAAAACACGCTTTATTAGCATACTGTTAAAAACTACAGTGGGATTGGTTTTCCTAACCGTGGAACTGCGTCGGGGGGGGGGGGGGGGGTCGTCTAGATATGGAAATTCCAACATTGAATTTCGAAAGGAAAACACGACCAGCAGGCAAGGCGGGTTGAGTGTCTTGCCCAAGGACACAACCCTCTTTAACATCAATCTCAGTTGGGTTAGAGACTTGACCAGTTTCATATGCACCCTCTAACTTTTACAGTTTTGTGGAGTGGGTAGATCTTCTAGGGGGAGCTCTTTACTTGCTTTACGGCTGTTAGCTTTTACGCTAGCAGATCTCTTTTTCAGTTCGTCAATAAAAAGTACAAGAAGAAGAAAAAGAAGTTTCCTTTTTCTATTGGCATCATAGCAGAGCCTGGAAGTAAAAGTATGAGTACTGTCTTTGGAAGTGAAGCAAAGAGCTAAAACCAGAGTGAACATCGGCACAGCCTATAGTTTGAGAGAGCTAAAGGAGGCTACAAAATCACAGACTGATGGTGACCTGGCTTTGTTGCTACTGGACTTGTAAGCGATAACATTTTCATCCAACAGTTTGGATCTTTTTACTTTGTGTATTTTTTTTTATTATCACTTGGCTCATGTTAGTGTTAGCTTGTTGTTTGCACTAGCTGCAGCAGGCTGCAACAGGGCTGTTCATGACAACTGTAATTTTCCTTTCAACCAGTAGGGCAGAGGAGCACGTAAAAGCTCTGTGTTGCTTTAAGTTGGCAATATAGAACTCATCATTCCCAACATTAAAATCATTAAACACATCAGCAGGAGCCATGTGGGTTTCTTTATGAAATCTCATAAGTGTACACATGAGTCGTTTCAGCTGACTGAAGATAATGGGCTGTCAGACTGAGCGGATTTAATAAACAACCAATTGCAGCAGACCATTCCTCAGGCTTTCAGCTGATCCAGAGTCTTTGTTTACATCGAAACTCTGCAGTCATGCTGGCACAGCATCCTCTAACATTAAAACAAACACTATTTGGAGATAGACTGTACCTGGAGGTTCAGGTCGTGGAGTCGCCCACTCATGGCTGACTTCTCCTCGATCACCACTGTGTAGCGTATCGACAGGTCACACTTTTCATCCTTCAGCTTAGCAACCTCCCTCTGTAGCGCACCCAGGTGCCTCTGCAGCCGTCCGTTTTCAGACTGAATCTTCCTGGACGTCTCCTCCTGACTCATCATCTGTCCGATCTCCGACTGCAGGGACTTGCACTGTGCACTCATTCTGCCTGCTTCGCCACGAGCCTCCTGCAGCTCGTTCTGCATTCCCGTTACTGCTCTGATTAGGTACTCGGTCAGCTCAGAGTACTTAATCAGTCCTGTGAGGAGAGCAATGCAGGTCAGGTGATTAGCAAGGTGTTCCCTAAAATGATGTGGGGAAACCTTGAGGCCACTAACCACTGAATCTTGATGGTTCTGTACTGGGCTTGTGTCCAGTAACTTGGGTGTAGAGGGATGGATAATGGATCATCAGACCCTCCAGTAGAGCTATAGCTCCATTCCTTCCTTGGCTCCTCAGCAGATCCAACATGTAGCCTAAGAAAAACAGCAATGTTTATCTGAACTCCAATCTTTGATTTGGCTTAACAACAAAAAAACAGATCAGTCATTTTTCCTCATATATGTGAAAATCTAATGAAATATGATACAGAAAACAGAACAGCATCAGTGACCAAAATGGACTATCACTTTCTTCTAAGCAGCATCATGAGCCAGTTTCAGATACAAATATTTAGTACAGATGCTGCACAGAATTCCTAATCCATAATCCAACCGGCAGAAGACCACAGTCAGCCTAAAGGTCAAAAACAATTCCATTAGATGCTCACTGGTTCTCATGCAGCGGTTGGTGAGGTTGTGGCATGAAAGGATCTCATCTTCATCCACCTCTGTGAGCACCCTGGCCTGTCTCAGGTACGGGATCAGGATGCACGGTCGGACTCCCAAAGAAATCCGGTGCCGGTTGTCATTAATCAGGTTCCAGAGTACCTCTTCGTCCATCTCCTTCAGGTCTGGACCCTCAGGAACACACGCCCCTTCCATCCCGAGTGTGTGAAAGAGTTGAGTACAGCTGGAGTGAGAACACACACACACACACACACTTCCTTCCCTGTGCAGCAGACTGAATGGAAGTAGGAAAGAAAGGTGGCATAAAAACAGGCGCTCCTTTTTCCACGCCCTGTGGGTGTTTGTTCCACCGAGAGAGAGAGAGAGAGAGAGAGAGAGAGAGAGAGAGAGAGAGAGAGAGAGAGAGAGAGAGAGAGAGAGAGAGAGAGAGAGAGAGAGTGTGTGTGTGTGTTTAAAAAAACCTGAAGGATCAGAGCTTTGGATACAGAGCAGTGAGGGACTGGTTCTGGGTGCTTAAACACACACACACACACACACACACACACACACACACACACACACACACACACACACACACACACACACACACACACACACACACACACACACACACACACACACACACTTTGCTCACTTGCACATCACAAGGTAGAAACTTCTGCTCAGCTTTTTTAATGATCTCACACAGATCTGTATAAATAAAAAGCTTCAGTGTGAGTTTATTAGAGCTCCCTTCTAACAAAAAATATGTTCGGGAACATTTGAGCCGGGTTTCATAATTCATTACTGCGATGAAGCAAACAACACATCCAGCTCCGCAGACGGCAGCAAACACTGAGCTCAGAGGAGCAAAGTCCTCTCTCACAGGAGGAAATAACGTTCAGGAAGACGTGCTTTTGTTATCTAAACACGATGCTTCAATGTGAGGGTCTGATGTATGGAAGCTGCTAAGGCAACCTATCGTTAATCATATTATACGAGTGAGCTCACACGATAAGTCGAAAATGTAACGAAGCAGTTTGTGAACATTTGTTTAAACCGAATAAACCAGAGCTTCAGTGTCGACCGTTCAGTTTGATGAAGAGTTACGTGTCAGCACTTTTCTTTCCTTGAATGAGCTCAAAAGTTCATAAACCAGAGATAATGAACTCTTTACCTCTGGATCCAGTCTTCTGTAACAGAACCAGCTTCTGTCAACAATACAGGCCCTCATTATCACTCCCATATCGCTGCACACAAGGGAGTTGAGTGAGCATTCAAATGAAACTTCCCAGAAAGTGTGAAAGGTGATATAAAAGGCAAATAATTAATAAATAGAATATAGTACCCATGAATATCACGTTTTGACTAAATGTTTCTCCACCCGTACAGCTTCTTCATGATCATCCCCCTATGTTTTTTAAATTATTGATTTACCAGTTTATGTTGTGAACCCACCTCTATGAGCCAAGCATGCTCCTGTTACCCTTATGTGCTGTATATGCATAACTGTAATAAAAGTTTTCATAGAATAAGAGATAAGAGAGAACCAAGAATTATGAAATAACTGATTAAACGTAAAGGTCCTGCGGGTATATGTTTTTGGCAGATGTTTTATCAAGAGTGAGTTTCAAAGGAGGAAGTAAAAATCTGGCTTCGACCAAAGCTAGCACAAGCTAACTGGAAGGAAGAACATGAGTCAGGCTCTGCCAGAGGTGAGAGAGTAGAAATAGAGTGCAGTAGAGTATAGGTGGAGGGAGGTTTAGAGTATTTATGGAATATTTATCTCCTTTTTTGTCACTTAAAGCTGTGGTTCAAAGTGTGACGTCATCAAGGAGAGAAGATTTTAAAATTTGAACATCAGGGGCATGGATGGGCTGTGTGGCCAAACGTGAGCTAACCAAAACTAACGGAGGTTTGTGGGCATTTTTAGCCAGAAAGAGGCGGTTGAGCACCGCTTGTGCTCTGCTGCTTCTACTGCAGTCAGAGGTCCATGAAGCTGCCGCTGCAGAAGAGTTTCAATGCCATTCCACTTCCTTCTGGAGGATCTCTGGCTGCAGTGGAGGCAGTGAAGTGGGGTGAGGCTGTAATCATGCTGGCTGCCTGTGGAGCTCTCTGTGGTAGACCACAGAAACACCGCAGATCGCTGAGTTTATGTGTGCTTCATGTTAGAATCACTCAACTGCATTTTTCTAGCTAAAAGTGCTCAGAAACGTCCATTAGCTTTGGTTAGCTTGTAGCTACATCAGATTCGAGTTTGATAGGTGTCATGGGTGCTCAGATCTTCACAGCCCCGCACTCGGCTCCACCTCTTTGTCCATTTTTGTATTTTCTGGGAGTGAAAAGACACGCCCAGGATGGCGATGGTGGGAGATACGCCCATTAGGCTTCAGTTCAGCTCTTCCAAAAACATATGAGTAACGTGATGGAGGGTTAGTCCAGTTTATTTTACAGTCAATGGTCAACACTCTAGGCTTGTGTAAATGATTTGTTTTGCTGTAGAGGCCAGGAAAAGGACTTAGGGAAAAGTAAATTATGAAAGATGATCTACTTTATATGATAGAAAAGGGTCAAATGTAAGCATTTTAAAATGACTTTTAAAATGTTAAAGTACATACCACAACTTTAAATGTCAAATTTCATTATTAGACAAAGAAAGCCTTCAGTTTTTCTAAATATAGTTTCCAAATGACGACTTAAGATTTAGTGAGATGAATGAAACAAACCCAGCCATGTGTGGAAAAATAAATGGCCCTATTTTTACTATATGGATTAACTGGGATTAACCAGATTACTTGAAAAATCCAGTTCAGTTCTGTAATGGGCCATTCCCATCTGTACCGGGTTGGCCCGGGCCGGGTAGCCTCAGTCGGCCCCAGCCTGGCCCGGTTGATTCCACACATCCTTGTCTTAAGCCCATGTGGGCTGATTCTACCCACCAATCAGAGGCTTGCTCTAATGGAAGGTGTGAATTTGCTGTCAGCAGTGGGTGTGTTGGCCCTGGTAGGCCTGAAGCAGACCCCCTCGAGAAGAGGGCTGAGAATGAGCCTTGGTTGGCCCGGAAAAATACCAGGAAACCCAGATATGTAAACAACCTACACTACCCGGCCCGGGCCGACCCGGTACAGATGGGAACGGCCCACTAGTCACACCCAGACCCGATCAGCGCCAGACCTGTAAAATTAACTTTTTAATGTTTTAAAACATAAAATAGGCTAAATGCATTTAAAAAGGAACACATCCTGTTTCAAGAAGTGAAAATTACATTATATTATTTAATTAGTTAATATTTATAATAGCTTTAATTCCCATTCTTACATCCATTTAATCCTGATAAAACAAAAATGCCTAATTTGAAATCTGTCTGCACAAAATAACTAGAGTTAAAGGGGCATTATGGAAGTTTGACAGCCAAAACATGTATAGAAATAATAAATTTCTTCTTCATACATTCTCCTGCAATGCCCTGGTCCTGTAGAATGAGCCCTGGCATTTTTACTGTGATTGCCTGTTTTTCTGTAAAATCACAGAAAAAGAGAGATGCTCGGGTCGAGCAGGCTGCTTCATGCGCGTTCACGCTCAGGCATCGCCCGTAGCATTTGCTATCTGTAGCTTTAGCAGCAGAGAGTGAGGCAGTGCCAACTTAGCGACTTTGTCGCTGTTCCTCACGCCTAGTGATGAACCTAGCTACATTTCTGAGGACCCTTAGCTACTTTATTCTAGATATTTCCTGCAAATTAGCAACAAAATAGCCATTTTTGCTTCGAACCGTTCTTTGAACGTTGTTTTAGCTGCCATCAGGAATATAAATACTACAGATACAAAAGTCATCACTGGTGCTTTAGCTCACCCAGTAAGATGGCAGACCCCTGTGCGGAAGACCTGGGTTTGATTCTGGATGTGAACATGGTTTATTTAGAGTTTATTTTTTACAATAATGGTATATTTTTTACAGTAAGATGCCCAAATTTTTTTTGAGACTCGCCGAACGGCATTGAATTCACAGATAAAAAAGATGTGGGTTCAAATTTCATTTTGGAACAATTTTTCAAGCAAGGGAAGGGAATGATCTGAGCATGCAGGAGGACTGACCCATCATAAACCTTTGTCGGCTGTGCTGAAGAGAAAGGTACAGAACCACATTATTTAATTAATTAGCTGCGCGTTCTCCTGTCCTCTGTCCTCCAGGCCACACACACACACACACACACACACACACACACACACACACACACACACGGGACTGTCTCAGCTGTTATTTCGTTAAGGAGTGTGCATGTACAGCATGCGCGCCTCGTGCACGAGCCTACTATTGAAGCTGCCATTACGCTTTTGGCCTGAGGGGGCAATCGCAAGCATAAAAATTCAAAACTCCGTAAAGTCCCTTTAAAACTGTCGAATTTTGAGATGAGGATTAAGTTCCGCTGGTGAAACTCGTCCAAAAGTTTCTCTAAAACATCGGTAACCTGGATTAGTAATTTCAGATTTCTTACATGAAAGAATCAATCTAAAGCTAGCTGGTCTCGTCTAATCATGGATGATTTTATTTTGATGCTTTATATTTTTATTTAGGAAATGAAGAGCTCTGATACTATTTTGTCCCCCTTTAACATCTCTGTAAAAATAAGCCTCTCCTGTGGAAGAATTTTAACAAATTTCACCCAAATCTGTTTCCTTCAGAATTAGAGCTGAGCTCCAATAACCATCGACTCGTGTTGAACACATCATTATCTGTCTCTCACAGATCTGAGGACAGCGAGTCCTCGAGCCGCCTAGACGCACCGTTTGTTTACAAAACCCAAAAACAAGCCATAAAATGATGAGAAAACAATAAAGCTGACACAGAAGTGCCAAAAACGTGCTCAAGTTAAAATGTTATTGTTCACCTGAATGTTTTATGTTCCTGATGTGATCCCTCATTGAACAGAGCTGGCCTGAACATGAATAAAGCCCAAACCCGATACGGTGAGAGGGAAATCTCTCCTCAGGGGAAACAGAAAGCTGCTTCTTTATTTCTGAGAGAAAAGGAGTAAACTTTTATACTCTGCTGTGTCTTGTTACTGAAAAATAAACTGTGTAAAGTCTGGTCCTGTAAACAGAATAGCTTTGTGTCATAGGGTTAGAAGGTATTAGAGTATGACGTTGAACTTGCTCGGACACATTAGTGGTGATGACGGCGGCGTGTGACTGTGTGAGTCTGCCTCAGGCCGTCGCCACCACACAGAGCTTTTCCTCTAGGTTGTTTGAAAAGGTGTTCTGTGAACGAACACATGAGAAGCTCGTTCTGCAGCATTGTGACCTGGAACAGTCATGCTCACGGACATCCGGCGTGCCAAAGTGTGTCAGGCAGCAGTTCTGTTATTCCACTCAGACTCGAGGCTCGGTTAAAAAAAAGCTCCAAAAGCTCATTTATTTTTCATTAAACTTTTTAATTTTGAAACTTAAGAGGTCAAACTTTTAGGTTGACTTCATATGAAAGCTCAGATCTTTTAAAGAGGAGTTTTTGTAAAAGTTTAAAACAAATATTTTACCTACAGTAAATAACTCAACCTCCGTTTGGAAGAGTGGAGATTAGTTATGATTGGATGGATGGGCTCAAAAAGACAGTAACAAAATGTTTTTGTCATCTTAAAGCAACTCTAATAATATAAAAAAAACATTTGCAGAAGTCTTTTACACCTTAACAGATATATTATCTTGTTATTTGTACAACGTTCTGTGGTTATTTGCACTGTTCTTGCCAACATTTCATAATAACTCTGCTGGAATCCCTATAAAACGTGAAAAATAGCATTAGCATACACTGCTATTGTTGATTTTGTAACTAGCCTAATTATGGCTAGATGATAGCTCAACTGTTTGATCAGAACTAATCTCTAACCCACTTATTTAAAGGTGTAGGACGCTCATTTAATCAGTACATTTGCAGCTGTCTGTAGTAATGAATGCCCTAACCCCGGCTTTCCACCAGAGCCGTCAGCAGCACGTTACTGCAGCAGCACATCTCGCTCGCGTAAACTGCTGCTTGGCCCTCCCCACGAGACGCAAAGCAGCAGGGGAGCAGCTGTCACCGACCGAGCACGAAGTCACACGAGTGACTTCATCAGTAAACACAACAACAAGCAGGAGAAAATTACAACATGGTTTGTGTTTTATGTTCTGTCCGTTTTATAATCGCCAATACAGACCTGAAAAACAAAGGAGACCGCTAGCTACGTGATAACTTCTCACGGGGCCACACAGTTAGTAACCTTTTTTAAAAGTAAAGCAACCGGAAGGCAGTACGTTCTTTATTCTGAAAGATTTCCTGTCTTTCCTTCCCCAAAAAGGTCGAACTTGACCCGTTTCAGAGGCGTCGCGCGTAGAAAATTGAACCGGTGCGTAAAGGCCGCGACATGCTGCTCCTGAGACGCGGCCGACTCGTGCTGCCGACAGCTCCAGTGGAAAAGGTTCTGTTGACCACAGAGGTTCCTATCAGCAGCTATGACGTGCTGCTGACGGCTCCCGTGGAAAGCCGGGGTAACACTGACTCTGTTTGCTCTGCAACGTTGGTGTTTTATCTCCACAAATAACACAAGCCTGAAGGAGTTCTGCCGTGTGGTGGAGTTGCTAATGCTAACAGGTAAATTCTGCTTGCTGCGACATTCTCTGCTGTTTCCTGGATGCTAAAACAACAACAGCCTTCCCCATCATGAGTCAAGATGGATAAGTCCATGAGTGTGACAGTGTGATGTAGATCTGTCAGGATTTTCAAATCCTAGAGTTTCACCGTCGATTTTCTATCAGAAGTGAATGCAGGAGATAGGTGTAGGAGACTATTTACATGTTCAGCCTGCATGAAAATCTCAGAGTGACCCATTATAATCAGAAATAATCATTAAAGTATTTTGTTCATTGTTTCACACCTTTAAACATTTGTTCTGAAAGTATTAAACACAGCCATCAGAACTGGGTTCTGAATTATGAAAAAGGAGTAACAAATCACTCTGAATGAGTTTTTATTTTCCTTATTTAAAGCAATGTTCTGTGGGGTAGTTGAATTCAGTTGAGTTTATTTGGTTTCAGCTCACAATAAATGTCCTCACAGGCCATTTTACAGAGAGAGCGAACAAACTCAAACCAGATAGAAGTCTAGAAGCTTTAACATTATAGGTAATATTTTATTGCAGATTTTTATCTAATCAGAGCTCTGTTTCAAGTGTTTTGTCAGATAGAGGTCGAGGCTTCAGAAATAACCAGAAAAATACAAAAATTGAAATAAAGTAAAAATACTTCAAGCCAAGCAGAAGGCCTCATCACTCAGAGTCCAAAAAAAGCAAACATAATGTGTTTATTTCTCTTACAGGCATGTGATCTTTCATGCTTCTGCTCTACTCACTGTTACATTTCTCTCCCCCCTTCACTGTGAGCCTACTGGTCTACTGCTGGGAGGTTAGCTTGTATGCTTCCACTGCTTGTGACACCTCGAGGAGGTCCGCCTTGTGCTGAGGAAACTGCTCCGACAGCGCGGACAGCATGGTGCCGACGGCCTCCAGACGCTCCTTCTGCCTCTGCTGAGCAGCTGCCACCGTCTCGCTGGTGGAGGAGACCTTGTAGTGGCCCTCGCTGACTTCCTGCAACCTCTTGTTCCGACTCTGCAGAGCAACTAAATAGACTTGTTTCTATGGATGAAAAAGATAAGTAGAGAGTGAGTGCTGAGATGTGTTCTTTTGCATCAACATGTTTTAGAAGGTTTGCAGCTGTAGCGGCCATTTGTGATGTAAACTTGACCTTTGGGTACGCTACGCCGCTGATGAAACAGACGTAGAGTAATCGTATAAGTAATTCTTCGAATGGAAACTAAAATAGTTGAGCTACGGGGACTTGAGAAAAAACTTTGCTGCAACGTCTAATACAGGCAGATGATTGATGGTGCATACTTGAGACCTGGCACATACCTGCCATTCATTAGAGGGAAAGAAGATAGACAGAAATAGATTTGGAGATTGTGACGCGTCAGGCTCAGAACAAAAATCTCAACCGGCACAACTCAGTGTTGTAAAAAAAAAAAAAAAGAAAAACATTTTTATTAAACATCAGATTTACCGTATATTTGTCGCTCTGGAGGTTTTCCAGCTCCAAGTCTTGTTTACTCCCGGAGCTGCAAAGTTCTGCCAGCTGCTGCTTCTGCTGCACAATCCTTTCACTCAGACCCTCTTTACTCTTTTCCAGATCCCAGATCAGCTGTTCACAGTCTGCAGCTTCCTGTAGACACACAGTCAGGATCAACAGGCAGCAGGCTCCTTCCTCTGCTGCAGATAAGAACTCCTACCTTGTGTGTTTTCTGGATCGTGCGCTCAAGAGCCTCGTTGGAGCGCCTCAGCTCGGCCTCGGCGAAGTCCCTATGCGAGCTCCGGCCCAAGGCTTCTTTACGTTGGAGGACGTGTTCCCTCTTCGCCACAGCGGCCTCGCTTTGTCTCATCAGCTTCTCCTGATGTTTTTTCAGTTGGCTGACTTGCAACTGCACAGACACAATATGAAAACAACCATTTCGGTTTTGTTCACAGTTCCACGTCTGCCTACCCAGACCTCTTCCAGAGGTCGTTAGGTAGCTTGGGGACAAATAAACTGGAGATTTTCATTTCTTCACCCCGCTAAACTCCCAGAACGGGAATAATTATAATCAATCAAGCTTCCTTTAATCTTTTTGCATATTTTGTACAATCTTTAGCATAATTGATGTCTAAGTGAATCATGTAACTCATTGTTTTTTGTCTTAATGTGCACTGAGTCACAAAGACAGATCCTTGTTGGTATACATTTCAGCAACGATCCAGAGCCTGATTCAATACACCTGGTGAACTGCGCTCTTGTTGCCATGGCAATAAACCGTTTTGGAGATTTTTGGTGTTTTAAAGGGAAGCTGCTGCACAGTCAAGAGTTTGTGAGGAGATCGACGAAGATGAAGCTAAGCTAATCGATGCTTTACTCTTCTGGAGGCTCAGTAAACAGATTCTTCTCATCTAAAGCTCAAAACCCAACAATTCATAGTGATTGTAGTAGATGCTGACTAAATACTGCACCACTTTTTCATCTGATGAATCTTTGAGCACCACTTTGCTGCAATAACTACCCGGTGTTCACGCAGCTGCTGGAGGATAAAGACGGTTTAGTGAAAAAGCTCACAAACAAAAATTCTGAGCATATTCAGACAAAAGAAAATAAGCATCATCTGGACCAATAAGAGCTCCTGTGTTGGAATAGACTTTTATACTGCCACCAGTTTCACATCACATAATTGTGAAATATTATGAAATTCCTGCCGGATCTGCCCTGAACTGTATGAACAAAAGCTGTTTGGACACCGATCTACAACAGGTACAATGATAATGATTCATTCATTTTGTAGAGAAGCACAATTAAAAAGAAACCCTCAAATATCCCTTTGAGCTCCAAGTGCTTCACCTCCATACGATGGATTTCACCCTTCATCTTCTGGATCTCTTCCTGACCGAACTCGGAGTCCACAGCTGAGCGAGTCTCCTTCAAAATAAGGATTTTTCTTTCCCGCAGCAGAATCTGTTGTCTGCAGAAACACAAAATAAACAGAAGAATCGCCTGCTGCGGTGTGCAGGGTGTGAGCTTTAAAACACTGCATTACTATTTGTTTTTATACATTAAAGCGATTAAATAACAGAATGAGAACAAGCAGGTTAGCATGTCATAGAAATGAGAGAGTGAGTGACCGACTCGGCTTCCACCAGACTCTTGAGGAGCCTCTCCTTCTCCTCCTGCATCGCCTCCAGCTTCATCTGAAGGTCGACAGATTCCCTCTCAGCCTCCTGAAAACAGTCACTGAGTAGATCATAAATGCTTTTCCACGATGAACAAATGTTCCTAATGAAAATCACAGCCAGGCCCTGCCTTGACTTTGTGAACAAAGTCTGTCGTCATCATCGAGTTCTCCAGCTCCAGAGCCTGGGTCAGCTGTTTGTTCTTGCTCAGCAGGCCGTTGAGCTTCTCCAGGTCTCTCCTCAGCATCTTCAGGTTCTTCTGAACGTCTGCGTTCTCTCGCTCTTCGTATTGAATCTGACCTAGATGTGAGGCCAGAGCAGATGTTTAAGGATGCAGATGGTTTTAAACAGTGTAAAAAATACAACAAACCCTGTTTTCGTGAGAATTTGATGTTTCATACTTTAAAAGTAGTTAAACTTTCTAACTATTCTCAGATTTTTAAGCAGGTGGAAGAGCTGAAAGTACTTCCGTGTAGGTATATAAAAGAGAGTCTGTATGTGATGCATACTCTCCAAACGGATTCTTTTCTGCTGAAAAACAATGCACTCTGTCTTCATTTTCTGCACCATCCTGCTGTTGACCTCTAGGTCTTTGCTCAGCTCCACTAGCGCCCCCTGTTGTCGCAGCCAGAGCTGCTGGTCGCTCTTAATGCGGTCTGCAAGCTCCTTGATCTGAGCCTGTGTCTTCTGGACTTGGATTTGCAGAGGACTCAGGTCTTCATGCTAAGAACAAAAGAAAACATTTCATGCAGGTAATTTATAAATGAGCATTTCCATCTGCAGGGTATCTGCAGGTTTAAGGGAGCTAAATGTAACACTTTTTAAGACCTTTTTTAAGGCCACTTTGACCAAATTCAAGCAATTTTTTAAAATTAAATTTAAGCTATAATTTCCAGCTATTGCCTGGAACCGGTGCTAACCACGTCGCGAACGTGGGATTAGCCATCCAGTTACCATTAAACTTGCACTTCCCCATGGCGCAAGCTCCCACTAGCTTAACCAGCTAATGTGCTCATCTAAAAATAGCCCCCTTTCACAACCAACTGAACGTGTACGGTTTTGCTTACGCCAACCATCATACACAAGAAATGCTGAACACTAACTAGAAATTCACGAAAATTTTATAGAAATAAAAGAATCTTGTTTATTGGGTCTTTGGTAATTTAAGACCTTTGGAAACTGTATTTAAGGATTATTTGTAATTTTTAAGGATTTTCAAGGCCTTAAATTTGGAAAAGCAAATTTAAGACTTTTTAAGGACCCGCGGATACCCTGAGGCGTCACTCTCCTCACCCCGGTGTTAGCCACGATGTTTGCAATCTTAGTTTGGAGGTCGCCAGCGACCGTCTGTTTCTGCTGGATTAATTGAACCATTGAAGAGATGTCTTTCTCCAGTGATTTCAGTAACTTGTTGTGGCTGTTGGTTTCCTCATCCAGAGCCTTTTGGATCAGGGTCAAGCTGTTCACGTTTACGTCGACTTTTTGGCTCTCCAACATGACAGACAACACGTCGTTGTGCATGCTCTCCAACTGGAAAATCTGCAGGAGTGAAAGACAAAACAAAGGCAGATTCTTATAAATAAAAAACACATAAGGACAAAAGAATATAAAGTCAGTAAAATTCCCTCGAACTCAAGGTTAAATTTGTGGTTTTAACTATATCCTGACTTTTCTACCTGTCTAAGGGAACAAGCAGGCCATTATGGGCTCGACACACGGGAGGCGACAAACGACCGCGATCAGCGAAATTTGTCGCCGTCGCTTTTATTACCGGACACACGGGAGGCGACCCGCGGCAGCGGCCAGCGGCAAAGCCGTCTACGCGTTCTGTTCCATGGCGAAATCGAAACGTCCGTTGTTTTGTTTGGCTGTGTCAGGTTGGAGGGAATTAAGGTTATTTAAGCGGTTCAGAGTTAATAAAGTGGTAGATATGATGTTTCACAAGGTGCTGCTAGAGTTATGTGAAATCTTACTTCTGATTTTATTATATAAAACATAATAATAATCAATTTCTCCTCCATGTTTGCTCGGAGGAGTACGGAGCATCCTGTCCGCTCATTGGTCAGTGAATGAAACCTCCGTTGATTGGTCCTCGTCCGAGCGACAGCGATGAAAAGTTGAAAATATTTCAACTTTCTGGGATCGCGTCGCTGGGTCGCCTGTGCACGACACGTGCACGAGCGCAAAATTTCACACGCAAGTTTTTCGCGTTTCCCTTGGTAGTGTGACAGTGTGTGAGTGTCCTGTCACGATGTCCCGACTGATCATGCGCCCTGGCTACTTGGCCAAGGGGATGTCCCTTTGGCTGACTGGTTAGAGCGTATGACTCTCACCCGGGAGTCTGGGGATCGAATCCCGCCCGGGCCTTCGTTTCTCCACCTTGCCACAGTAGGAGGAAGACCCGCGATTATTGCTTTGTCGCGCATGTCTCATTGAAAATGAATGGAGGAGAGGCGATGTCGACTCCCGTGTGTCGAGCCCATAAATCCCATTTTACCTTTCCTTTCTCCTGGGTGTTCAGCTTGCTAACGAGATGGTGGGAGTACTTGGCAGCCTGGCTGTGGGTGAGCTGCTGCTGAATGTGGGTCATGATTTTATCCTCCAGTTCCAGACGCACAGAACTTTCTTTCTCCAACTGTTTCCTCTGATCCATCACTTCAGTCTGGTATGTAGCGTTTTCCTAAGAAACAAAAAGATTGAGCACTTGGGGTAGTCAAAGAGGCAGCGTGGCAGGATAGTTCCTCGTCTGCATACCTTTGTGAGCTCAGCGAGGGTCTGCTGTGTTTCTCTGAGTGAGCGGAGGCAGGTGGAGTACTGGGTCTGCAGAGCCTCCAGGTCGTTCTGCTTCTGACTGATCAGCCGTTTAGAAGTCGCACAATCCATCTCACTCCAGTTGAGCTGAATAGCCAGAGTGTCATTTTTCTCCTGCTCTGCAGCGATTTCTCTCTTATTCATTTCTATTTCTCTTTGAAGCAAATTCCCCTGATCCTCCACACAGCTGAGGGGGAAAGGAAAGGATTATAAATGTTTGTCTCAATGGGATTTTATTTTCCAGATAAATGAACAAGATAACTTTACCTGATTTTCTTAATATGTGTTAAGCAGGTGGGTTCTATGTTCAATGAAAAGTTGGACACCAAACATCTCTGTTAGAGCCAACGTGAACGCTCGTGTGTTGTCGGTTTTGATGGCACAGATGTTGAGTTTGGCACTGCGCCTCAGGTTCGTTGGGAGTGTGGCTACACAATGACAGGCGTAACTCAGCTAATTTTATAGATATAGAGCTGGAGATCAAAATCTGGCCAAAAAAGCCAAAACAAATTAAGATGATCTTAGATTTTTTTTTTTTTTTTTTTTACAAATTAAGACAGCGGCTCCCAGTCCTGGTCCTCAAGAGCGATACTCAGCATGTGATGTTCCTGCATCTATAAGAAAACAGTGTTGCAACGCCCCCTCACTCCCAGCGCGTCAACAACAAACGCCTGGTCAGCCACCCTCTGCGTCAGACCCCTGACGCCAAAAGTGCCCTTTTTCGTCACTTATGTGCGAAAAGGGGTTTTCCCCTTTTTCTGACTGCAGATTCCAATGCAGCGTAAAACTGACGCGATGGGATGTCTGCTGATGCGGCACCGAACCAGCTCATTTAACCGCACCTAAACCTTAACGTTTCACTATTTATAACCTTCCCCTCACCCTCTTCCTAACCTTAACCCTCTTGCTACCTAAAACGTTACTGTCACTGTGATCAAGCGTCTGTTTCCCGTGCATTCTGACTGTGAATTTTTGTATTTGCCACCCAAGGGGAACGTTAGAACATACCATCTGGCGAGAGGGAGGTTACACATACCCTCTACTTTTTCCAAATGTCCAAACCAGACCAATGACGAGGCGGCTCCCGCTGTTCACTTCATAGAGCCGGCTTTTAGAGCGACCGACACATCACTAACGTGCTAGCTAGCAAGATGGTTAAGGTTAGGATAGGGGTGAGGAGAAGGTTAAATAAGAGGATAAGGTTAGGGTGAGGCACAATGAGCTTGTCTGGTGCCCTAGCTGCGGACATCCCATCGCGTCAGTTTTATGCTGCATTGTGATCTGCAGTCAGAAAAGGGGAAAACCCCTTTTCACACATAAGCGACGAAAAAGGGCACTTTTGGCGTCAGGGGTCTGACGCAGAGGGTGGCTGACCAAGCGTTTGCTTTTGACGCGCTGGGAGTGAGAATGTGTTGGACTGTTAGTTTGAATGCTTTGAAATATTTGTGTTTAACTTGTATTCCTCAGTAACTCGGCCCAAAAGAACAACAAAAAGAGGGTCACACAGTTTCGCTGATTTATTAGGGTATACATCCTCTGTGGCACTTTTTCAATGAGCTGCTGCAATGTTAGAGTCCGAGCAGGTGGCAGTGTGTAATGTATGTGTGTGTGTGTGTGTGTGTGTGTGTAAATGCAGTAGGTAAATCAATGTTAGCGTTTCTCCTCATGTTTCTTCTGCTATTCAATGTGGTACCCATGTATTTGCCCTCTTAGTGACTCACTCACTCTCTCTCTCACACACACACACACACACACACACACACACACACACACACACACACACAACATTATTATTTTTAAAGCGTTTTAGAAAGTATTAAGCATTTCTGTGGAACTAAAACAATTACCTTGCTGTATTTTTTAGATAATAACATTTAGGCTCTAAGCCCTCGTGCTGATTTTTCCGTTGTTGAGATTATGCAGCATTTTTGACCCACGTTCCTTGAGAGCACCTTTAGTAGTCTTACCGTACAGCCTCCTGCATTGCACGTAACTCCTCATCATTTCTCCTGATGCTCATGAAGCTGTTGCTCCACTGCAACAGCTGATGTTTACGTGACGTTAGCAGAGACTCCATTTCCATCTCAGCCTCGGGGAAAACAAGAATCAGAGGCATGAAAGTCAGCAATGCATGAGTCCCACAATGATGATGCTTCCCTCAGCCAAATAGAAAGAATTCATTCTTTTAATCACTTTTAATTAAAATATATTTTTCAATCCATTTGAGTCTATATTAGTTTATTACTACAATAATAAACTAACACCTTTTTCACCATTATAGACTTTTAAAAATCTTTTTTGTGACATGACTTCATGTCGTGAGTATTCATCAACGATTTTGTGGTTCTCGGGTTGATTTACAACTCCACCATGTGTAGCAGCTAAAGAATGTAGGAGATAATGAAAAAGTGTCTGATTAACACCAACTGTGTCACATTTCTCTACAGAAACCCCCAAACCTTTAGACCAACCTCCACTGTTTGTGATCAGTCACGCCGACTCACTCAGCCGACGTTCAATCGAAAAAATAAAAGACGAATTTTAGAAAATGTTTATGAAACTAAAAAGTAAATAAAAGGGTATACCAGTTTAGTTAAACCTACTCTATCAGCAGTGTGCCCTCAAGTGACACAAAATACATTTGTTGTACATCTGAACGGATGAAGGCTCGTTTCTAACTGTACTGCTGTGGAATATTTACCTTAACAAGAGCCTCTTTGACTGCCTGTGTCTGCTCAGCCTGAACGCCTCTCTGGGCCTCGTATGTGGACACCTGCAGCGTCAGCCTCTCCACCTCTTTAGTTAGACGTTCTACATACACATCCTGATGTAAAAATATCAGAAACTCCATGAAACCCTGAAGGATTCATCATTTTCAGCATGTCTGACGTCAGCTCTGGCACCTGCTTTAATAACTGCTCTTCTGCCTGAGTCTTCTCAGCCCCTGCTCTCTGTCTGATGTTCTTCATGGTGTTGACTTTGGAGTCCAGGTCTTCACTGACTCCTTGTGTCAGACTGAGGTACTGCAGCTTTTTGTCTAACTTGGCCTGCAGTTTGGACACTGGGAACACAAAGGTCAGAGTGGGAGCGTGAACACGCCGGAGCGATACAGCATACCTAAACTCACCATGAAATAAACAATAATCACATTTTGTGAACTAGTTAAAAGAGGTGACAGGATTAGGAGTGAAACACGATCGTGCTTCAGCAATGAGCCGTGACGCGTCACACCCACCGTTGGCTTTGTCCTGGCTGTTTTGCTGCCTTGTGACAGAACATTCGATCTTCGCCGCCTCCAGCCGATCTTGTGCCTGCCGATGCCTGGCGTCTGCATTTGCTTTGGACTCATGAACGTCATCTGTCTTCTTCTGAATTTTAACCAGGTATTCCTGAAACTTGAACACCTCTCGTCCCAATTCCGTAGTGTCCTCTGCCTTTTTAATGGCCTGCTGATATCACAGGGAGGAGAGAAATCATAAGTCTACAAAGCTCTCACTTAATTAGACATAAAACACATCAGACAGTAGCTGATTTTAGTTGGATCTGGATTTATTTGTATCTAAAACACAACAAGAACTACTTATTTCTCTGTCAGTGGTGTGAATATAAATATTTCTAAACTATTTTCTTGTTATTGATAGAAAAGTGACTAACCTTTTCATTTATTTCCTGTTTGAGTCTCTCCAGATTTTTCCTGAACTGACTGTTGAGGGCATCTTGAAGCCTTTTCACCAGAGGCTGTGAAAACATCAGTCAAGTGACAATAGCTGTGCAAGAATTATATTCTTATATTAATGCTCATAAACCCATCCATTATGCTTGCGGATGCATTTATGAATATTAACAAAACGTTTTATAGTGACAGGTTTAGGGTGAAGCAGACAGACATGTTCAGGGTCTAAGATGAGTAACTCCCCCTCCTCGTCCTCTTGCTGTTGTTCTGGGTTCATCGTGTCTTCTGAAGCGTTGGTGGTCGACAGGGGAGGAGGCTGTGCCAAACGGGTCAGAAAACCTAAAATAAATTATTAATTATTTTGAAAATCAACAGAAGCTTGGGAGGTAGAACATAAATTTAGTACTTTTGATATTTAACTAATATTGCTTCAGTAAATGAATGTGCTGCAATCTTTGATTATAGAAAGCATTGTGTTTGGGGGAATTATAGGTTTATTGTATTAAACCTGAGATAACTGAAGACAGGATCAATCCATTTGTGAAATATTTGATCTTTTTTTATTCTGTGTATTCCTGCTCTGTACTGACAGGTCGGTGTTTGACTGATTTTACCTGCCACACTGAGGTCAGGGTCAAGCTGAGGGATGAGGTCATCAGGCTGTGTGGCTAACAGGTCCTGTATGTTGACAACAAAAAGCAAATACAGAAGTCTCTTAGCAGCTATGAGCTGGACAATATCTACTGTAAGAGTAATTTAAATGTCCATTCTTCTTTCATAGCATCAATGTGATATGTGCTAGTTTCAAGCTCTAAACTGATACGCTGTATATTACATATCCTGGACAAATGGCTAAAATACCTTCAAAATCAAATAAAATATATAACAGCTGCACACATTCAAAACAATGGATTTTGTTTTCTTTCTGTGGCCTTCAAACCTCTAGAGTCAGCGGGACAATCGCTCCAGTGGCCTCTTCACCTCCAACCCTCTGGATGGCATCTTTATCCTGCGGTTTCTCCTCTTTTATCTCCACATTCCTTGCGTCCTGCATAGCTACCTGTGCTTAAAATAGAAACTTTAGCTTGTTTCACCTACTGATAACCACAAACATATTTAAAACGTATTTAAAATGATATTAGAAATTTACAAGCGTTTCAGTTGGTGTAGAGAAAACTCGAAATCCTCCAAAATTTAGCTAGCGAAGCAGAAACTACAGGTGCTGGCCAGTAAATTAGAATATCATCAAAAGGTTGAAAATATTTCAGTAATTCCATTCAAAACGTGAAACTTGTACATTATATTCATGCAATGCACACAGACCAATGTATTTCCAATGTTCATTACATTTAAATTTGATATTCATAAGTGACAACTAATGAAAACTCCAAATTTGGTATCTCAAAAAATTAGAATATTCTGAAAAGGCTGAATATAGAAGACACCTGCTGCCACTCTAATCAGCTGATTTACTCAAAACACCTGCAAAGGCCTTTAAAAGGTCCCTCAGTCTTGTTTTGAAGGCACCACAATCATGGGGAAGACTTCTGACTTAACAGCTGTCCAAAAGACAATCATTGACACCTTGCACAAGGAGGGCAAGACACAAAAGGTGATTGCTAAAGAAGCTGGCTGTTCGCAGAGCTCTGTGTCCAAGCACATTAACAGACAGGCGAAGGGACGGAAAAAATGTGGTAGAAAAAAGTGTACAAGCTCTAGGGATAACCGCACCCTGCAGAGAATTGTGACGACAAACCCATTCAAAAATGTGGGGGAGATCCACAAAGAGTGGACTGCAGCTGGAGTCAGCGCTTCAAGAACCACCACGAGGAGACTCATGAAAGACATGGGATTCAGGTGTCGCATTCCGTGTGTCAAGCCACTCTTGAACATGAAACAGCGCAAGAAGCGTCTCGCCTGGGCCAAGGACAAAAAGGACTGGACTGATGCTGAGTGGTCCAAAGTTATGTTTTCTGATGAAAGCAAGTTCTGCATTTCCTTTGGAAATCAAGGACCCAGAGTCTGGAGGAAGAGCGGAGAAGCACAGAATCCACGTTGCATGAGGTCCAGTGTAAAGTTTCCACCGTCAGTGATGGTGTGGGGTGCCATGTCATCTGCCGGTGTTGGCCCACTCTGTTTCCTGAGGTCCAGGGTCAATGCAGCCGTCTACCAGGAAGTTTTAGAGCACTTCATGCTTCCTGCTGCTGACCAACTTTATGGGGATGCAGACTTCACCTTTCAACAGGACTTGGCACCTGCACACAGTGCCAAAACCACCAGCACCTGGTTCAAGGACCATGGTATCCCTGTCCTTGATTGGCCAGCAAACTCGCCTGACCTTAACCCCATAGAAAATCTATGGGGTATTGTGAAGCGGAGGATGCAATACGCTAGACCCAACAATGCAGAGGAGCTGAAGACGACTATCAGAGCAACCTGGGCTCTCATAACACCTGAGCAGTGCCACAGACTGATCGAGTCCATGCCACGCCGCATTACTGCAGTTATTGAGGCAAAAGGAGCCCCGACTAAGTATTGAGTGCTATACATGCACATTCTTTTCATGTTCATTCTTTTCAGTTGGCCAACATTAGAGAAACAAACATTTTTTCATTGGCCTTTAGAATATTCTAATTTTTTGAGATACCAAATTTGGAGTTTTCATTAGTTGTCACTTATGAATATCAAATTTAAATGTAATGAACATTGGAAATACATTGGTCTGTGTGCATTGCATGAATATAATGTACAAGTTTCACGTTTTGAATGGAATTACTGAAATATTTTCAACCTTTTGATGATATTCTAATTTACTGGCCAGCACCTGTAATTCAGTTGTTTACTAGCTTAAGTTCGAGGTGTCTCGATTTCTTGGTCAGAAACGGCCTTTAAATGAAACCATATTTATCAACTACATTAAACTATTAACATTTGAACATCAGGCTTAAAACTGACGTCTAAATAGCACATTTATCATTAAACTGTGTTGACATACACCTACTTCCGCTGAGAAACCAGAGAAGCAAGCAACCGTGGAAAACCGTAGTATTTGTTGAAGGTGCGCAGTTTCTGGTGCGCAAAAGTAATTTCATTTCGACCGTTTATGCAGTGATTTAAACACGTCTTTGTATTTTAGTGATAAAATAAGAATGTAGAGAACAGCGGACTGAATGAAATATAGCAAACCTACTTCTGCTGAACTGGCGCTGACGAAGACGATGCAAAGACCTGCGTTGCCTAGCAACCGCAAACTTCCGCTGTACGAGGATGCGCAGTTCTCGTTTAAATAGGCGGGTGCTTGGGGGAAAATTAAAAATATGATAACGACCCATTTTTTATTTTGAAACTTTAATTTTTTAGGAACTCTTTATACAGTTTTATCACTTATAATAGTCCAAAACAAAACCTGTGGCTTAAATGAATCTCTAGTGTGTAAATAATTTAAAATTCAACAAGAACTTGATTTTATTCAGTTTTAAAATAACTCGAGTTATAGCCTTTATATTTTTACTGGTTTGCATAAGTTTTCTCCTAATTGTATTTGTCAATTTAAATAAATGGCGTTTCCTTCAAGTTTTCAACTAAAATACTTTATAATTTTGTTTGTTGTACACAAACAAAATTTTGCCCAACTACACAAACCTCCCGTTCAGTTCGTACTTTGCTTCAATGATAATGTAAATTGATGATGATTTAATCAACATATTTAACAAAAAGACCTCAGAAAATACTCATTTACTCCAAATAAATACAAATCAAATTGAAGACAACAGTATTCTTCATCAACAGATTTATTTTATCATATAAATAAGGCAGATACACATAATCACTGGTTTTGGTCTTAAAATTGTCAAAAAAAAAATTCACAGGTAGAAATTACGTCATTACATTAAAGTATCCTCCAGAAACCTTGTTTCGTTCTGGTAATACCAAAGAAGTAGACAAAAGCTGGAGCCAAATACCACTTTTACACATTCCTTCAAAAATACTTCAAACAGGAACCGAGGCATCAAGGAAAAAAAGCAAAAATCCATTGTTACAGTGCTTTATGATCCTAAAAGAAAGACTCATGTAAACAACGTTCATGTGTTGTAGTATGAGCATAAAGACAAGTCTACAATAAGCACAGAGGGGAATCCGGCACTAAAACTTTGGTTTAGAGAACATTTTAACCAATCATTTCAGAAACAGGAACCCGCTAATAAGGATGCACATTCCTGGCAAATGTTTCCAACGACGTGTACCTTCACTCACCGATGTCTGTCTACATACTTCATGGCAGATTGACTCTTTAAAGCACGGTCACATTTAAAACTTCTCTCCCGTCATCTTCAACATCAAATACGACTGATGCATCAACAAACAGTTCGCTACTGCAGAATCCCAGATTATCAGCACATCCAGAAGCAACAAAGATATGCAAGATGGCGTTCATCAAAAGAAAACAAAGCTTACATTGTGCAATAATTTAAATATCCTGGTCAAACTGTTAACCAGGTCAAAACGGTTTTCAAACTCAAACAAACGGAACCATTCGTGCATACATTCAGCGTTAGAGGCATCGTACTCTTCATTTAGTCCTACGCAGCATTTCTAACATTGCACTTGTGTTTGTGCATTTGTTATTAATAAATGGATCTTAAATAGTAAACACTTTCACTAAATCAGCTGCTTCTTTCTAAAAAATAGTATTAGCGACATTAAAAAGGTGGGAAAGGGGGGGTTGGCAGTAGAATGGGATGCTCAGGTGTGGCCACGGCACAAAGCAACACTGTTTATTAATACCTGATTGAACAAAGCACGAATAAATAAACATAGCATCTAGTGTCTGAGATTTCCAATGTTTTTATGTGTCATTTAAATGTGCAGTCTCTAAAGGGAAGCTACACGCGCCCCTTCCTCCGTAAGGTATCAGGTGAATGCTTCTACATCTTTGTGTTCAAAGGACAACATTGGAATATTCTTGCTTATTAACCTAAGCCTGCATGTGGGGAGTTTCTATTTAACATAGCAGCAAGCAGCACTTTGCCATTACTCTAACTGGAAAGTTCAGAGTTTCTGTTCTGATCAGAGAGGAAGCAGCTCACAGTGGGAATGTGTGGAAAACAACAGTCTGGACTTCAGATCCCGCCCCCATTATAGTAGCTTTAGGCAATGCTGTAAACGATCTTCAGGGCTGACCATCCGTCTCCTGCCAGGAAGGTTCTGTGCTCTGTGTGTGTGGGGGTGAAGGACCGTCAGATGGGTGCGTGATCATTGCAGGATGCATGATATCCAGCCACACGTCGTCCATGTTTGGCATCACGAGGATTTTCTAGAACAGAAGAGTGAATATCACAAAGTAGTGAGCGGTCTGTCAGTGTTTTAGGATTCCTCAAACACAAATAAGTCTGAATCAATCAGAGAAAAAAAATCTAAACTAGCAGAATATATGTTTTTGCCAAATCCAGTCATTACATTTTTGTTGCAGAGGCTACTAGCTTCCTAAAAACGCCTCTGATTAACCAAAAACCAAACTTGAATAGGAACAACTGTACCATGAATTCCTGCTCCAGTTTTCTCTCTATCCAGTCAGTAACATGAGCCAGAGTGACTTCTCTTTCTCCGAGTTTAGGCCGGGCCTTCAATTCCAGGTGGGGTGGAGTCCTGAAGCCGTACCTGCAACAGAAAACAAACGCACCTATCAAACACATCCTGACGAGTATAATCCTCACCACTAGAGGACAGTCTGTTTCTTGGTTTAGCGTGGTAGACTGGATTTAATGGCTCTGAGAACAGACTCCGTCTCTGTTTAAAGTGAATTATTTGTCATTTAGAAATAAAAACACATGACTGTTGACACACACCAGTAAGCTGAACAAATGAAAAATCATCTTATTGTTTGCTCCAGAATAGATGGTGTTGTTTTTGTGGGAAAGAGCCTTCCCAGAGGAAAATGTGACCTTTAGTCACTCTGCATGTTTACCACAGAGCTGATTATAATAAACAGACACATACCATATCCTGTCAGTCGGAGGAGGGGGAATATTGACGGCCAGCGTTCCTCGGAGCTCCTGAACCTCCACAGTGAGCAACAGGGGTGTGTTGGACACCTCTTCCATCTTCTTTTTGATGAACTCTGTCTCTGTGGCCTTCTGAAAGTATTTAGATTTGGCAATCTTGTCCACAAAGCGCATGATCTTGCTCGGTTTGTGTCCTCCAACCAAACTTTAGTTAATAAAACAAGAAACAAATCAAAACTAAATTAATTCCTCAACAAAGCTCTAGGAAAATAAGAGTCAGAAGCTCCGTTGTACTTTTGTACAACTAATCTTGGCAACCAGGAGAAGGTGCAGAAAACCCTCACCCTTCTGCTCCAGCTGAATCATTTGAGAGGTCTGAGGAGTCTTCTTCGTCTGATGAACCTGCGCTGGACGACTCTTCATCACTAGCAGCCAGGCAGTAGGCCCGAGGCCTGACTCTGGAAAAAACAATCAAGCAAACGAAACATGCTGGGAACCGTTCCTGTGTGTAGCTGTTACATAAAAATAAACTACACGTACAATTAAAAACAGACTTCTAAAAAGAAGATAAAAAAGATAAGAACAAGCAAACCAAGTGTTAGTTGGATCAGGAAGTGAGACACTCACCAAGTAAGAAAACAGTCAGGTAGAGTCCAAGAGGAGCAGCAGGAAGAAGGAAAAGGTAATCACAGAGTGAAGCAGGTGAGAGGACGAGTCAGAAATGCTTCAGAAAGGTGAACGTTCTCAGGTCTCACCCATCTCTGCCAATGTCTCCAAACCGGAGGCTCTCCCCCTCCTTTCCCAGCCGGTTGAGGATCATCTTGGTTTCCAGGGTCATCAGGAAAGAGCCGTAGTAGGAAACCTCCAGGTCAAACCACAGCCCTAATAAACAAACAGTCAAAGTTTATGGGATGTGAAATAATTACACAAGATTCATTACATCTTTAACAAACAGAAACCTTTTCTAGGACATCCCATCTTTAGATGCCTCAGAGTAAAACCCAAACCTACTTCATTTTCAAAGACAAGGACAACATCCTAAATAAATAAATTCATCTGTGGTGTTTTCACTTTGAACCACTAGAAGACAGAAAGGTCTAAAAGCTGCTTATGAGATTAAAGATGGAGGAATGTAAACGTTCTGTACGCCGCTCGACCCACTAATAACACTTTTATACTTTAACACAAAAAACAACATAACAGGTCATTTACTCAGCTAAAGTTTGAATATATGAGCGAGCATTTATGTCTCATGCAACCATTTACGATTTTGACTAAATCCATTTAAAATAACGTTATTAGTGACCTTATTAAATAACAAGAAATCATTCTCACACAGAGGGGATGAACAGATGTGGCGCGAGAAACGGCTAATCCTCTCCTTCCTGCTCAGTCGAACCCAGAACTGAACCAAAAACTTCAGCGGTAAATGGCAAGACAAATATGTTAAAGTGTAGTGAGCCACAGGAAGGCAGGCAGAGAAAAACAACAAGTGAAAGAAAAACAAAAAGCTGAGAGAAAATCAAAGCATGTAGATCTTAGATCGGCGTTTCAGAACAAAACAAAAGATATGGAGGTCTGATGGAGCAGCAGGTAAACACAGAGGTACAAAGAGGCAGTCGGGCAGGTTGGATCTGCTCGCCCTGGTGAGTTTTGTTTTCCCAGTAGTCCTACAAAGGACTCCTCTCAGTCTGGTTGGATGGAATATGGGTTCCCAGAACAAATCTGGGAAGATTTTCTTAACTGGGATTAATCCCAAGAGGATGAAGGCAGACTTTCAGAAGTAAAACAACAAAAACACATGTTCAAGCAGACAGAGGCCAGCTAGTAGAGGAGATATATACACACGCAGTTGGGGGGGGGGGGGGGGGGGGGGGCTACATGATCGACTGCACTCATCTATTCTTCGTCCTGGAAGAACTGCAGAGACAATAGAAGAGGACATGAGATGCCTGAAAGACAGAGCAGCAGAGGACTAAACAGACTCTTTATGCTGCTGAATTTATTAAGGTGTGCAACACTCATTGAATCCATACATGTGCAGCAGTCTCTAGCTGGAAGTAATGTTTGGGGAGGGAGGGGGGGGGGGGGGATCTCAGACGTGCATGAATCACGGAACAAGTCAGCCGGAGGAGACACTAGCTTCAGAAGGCAAGGTGTGGAGTATTACTTCCTGATATCTGGACAACTCTCCTCTGATTGGGTAACAGCAACACAACTCTGCCACTGACTCTGTAACCCTGATGTTTATCTCCACAAATAGCACAAGCCTGAAGGAGTTTTGTCATGTGGTTGAGATGCTATTGCTAACGGTTAGCTTCTATTAGCCGAGACGTTCTCTGCCGTTTCCTGGACGCTAAACCAACAACATCCTTTCCAGTTGTGAATCAAGATGAACGTTAAGTGACAGTGTGATGTAAATCTGTCAGGCTTTTCTAATCCTAGAGTTTCACCATCTATTTTCTATCAGAATCTAATGCAGGAGATAGGTGTAGGAGACTATTTTCATGTTCAGCCTGCATGAAAAACTCAGTGACAGATTATAACCCGGAATAATCATTACAAAATAATTTTCAGTGTTCTACACCTTTAATCAGACGGAGTAAAAATGATCCTGCTTCCTGTGATCACACAGAAATCATAATCAACAGAACTGTGCTCCAGTTGGGACTTCAGGTGTTTTTGCCAGGTAATAATAAAACACATCTGTTTGTGATGTTCCTCTGAGCTGGAACACTTCCTGCTCTCAATAAAGGCTTATGTGAGAACTGCAGGGAGAAAATGAGGTAGTGACTCATCACAGAGAGGAAGAGAGAAAGTAAGGGGCCCACAGAGAAAGATGGAGAGAAAAAAAGGAACGTAAAAGAAAACAAGAGAAAGACGGACGATTCCAGAGACATGACGGAAAAAGAGCACAATGCTATTTATAAATAATAAAGTGAGCTCAGGACACTTTCATATCCGTAGAATTCGTAGACAAGAGAAATATTTGTGTTTTTAATAAATAAATCTGATCAACCACATCTGATGAACTCAGTGGCTTTAGCTTCGTCACATGGTGAGAAAAAGTCACTTTTGTCTATGCAGTAAAATGTCAACAATCAAAAGAGAAGTTCTTTTAAAAACACACCTTTCGTTTCACCAGGCTGAGCAGACGACCTACCAAAAACAGGTTTTTAGCTATGATGAGACTTTAACCACTAAAACTTTGCCTTGAAAGGTTTAAAAACAAGTCTAAGGATGAATGCTGCAGCACCTGAAGGCTGATTGGTTCATATCCATCCCTACACCTGTGTCATTGCCCTCTGATGCAGATAAGTTAACTGATCCTTGACCTGAAACGTGGTTAAAACCAGACTAATAACTGGAAACATTTAGAGTTAGGAAGCTAATCATGTTAGTTAGCGGTTCAAATGCTAGCCTGACTACTATCAGTGTGTGTGTGTGTGTGTGTGTGTGTTACTGCTCTTCTCTCTTGCCTCGATAGTCCATGGATGGCGTGGATGCCCTGAGGATTCTAGGAGAGGCTGAGCCCATGTCCAGTTCTGTCAGGGTTAGCTCGTTCATGAAGTAAGGAAGCTAAAAAATAGAAAAACCCAGATCAGATAAGTGACCTACTGACATGGTTTACCACGTCTTTCCCAATACCACACAGCACTTTTAACGGGATCAAATAATTATTTGAGTAAAACACAACATGGTTCCGATGCTGACAAACACTCTGAACAACTAGCCGATTGAATCTGAATAAGGATAATAATGCTTTTCTCTGATCCAAGTTCTATCCTTGGTTACCTAACCCTCGTTACACTCACTCGGATCTTGCTGAGCTTCATCTGGATCTTTTTTGAGACCATTTCAGCCCAGCAGGGCTTGGTCAGGAAGTCCCAGAGCAGTCGAGCAACAGCTGCGTTCACCCAGGCAACGGACCCGTCCTCCTCCTCCCGGGGATGCAAAGCGCTAGTCTGAAGCTGAAAACAGAGTTAATACACACATCAGGAGAGATAAACATTTGTTCTGTTTTATTTTATCTCATGTTTTTACACATTGGTAACGAGAAATCAGCCACTTTGCGTATAATCCCAGTAGCTTTAACACATGATCTGAACTGAAAGGGGAAACGTTTCTAATGAAGCCGCTGTACCTTCTTATCGACCACGGGGCTGCCCTGCAGACTGGAGGCGGAGCTACTGGCTGCGGTGCTGGCTGACTGCTGTTTGGGCAGAAAGGAGCTCATGTAAACGGTGAAGTCCAACTGAAGCTTGCTTTTGGCACTGCCTGCTGCTGCTGAGTCCTTTGATTTGGGCAGAGATGACAGCATCTCATTGAGACTGCTGCGGCTGCTGTTGCGGCTATGCGACTTGGAGACTGCTGTTGTCAAAAAAATAAATAAAATACAGATGAATTAAATATTCCCATAACTCAGGTAATTCTAATACAATTTACGTAAATGATATTTGTTGACCTTTTTTAGTGCCTCCAACACACGAGGCTTTCTTTGACTCCACTCTGACGTGAGAAGCCAACAGAAACCTCTGAAACCAATCTTCCTTCTCCCTCCCAGTTCTCCCAAATAGGAAGAGGGTCAGGTGTGTGCTGGATGATGATGATGATGGTCGCTCCATCACTCCACTGGTTCTTTCTCCATCTTCTCTAGAGCTTGTGGACTCACTGAACTCCACCTGATCCCCTTCTGCCTTTGACATAAAGTCATCCTGTTTGCTGAGTTGAAGGCAGATGGGGTATTTTTTGTTCCAAACTCGTTTCTTGGCCAGATTTTGAGGCGCCAAATATACCTGAGGCACGTAGAAAAACAAACAAACCTGATATTCTTTTGTGAAGCTTCTCTAAATTTGACATTTTTTCATCATAATTCCAAGAAGCAAGTGGAAACTGTCACAGAATGATCTGCTGCTTAAAGATTTACAAGCTTAAAGTTGAACAAGTTGACATTTAAAAGTGACTCAGAGTTAAAGAACAACTTTCAATAAAACACATAAAGCTTTAAGGATGTTTTGTGTCACATACTTTGCAGTTGGTGAGGTCATAGATCTTCTGACTGATGAAGGTCACATCAGGTTTGGGTTCTTTGTGCGATGCGCGGCGGGTGATGTTGTGGTTGGGTTTAGACAGACGAATGGTAGAGCCCTCCAAACGAACGTACACAGAGTGGGTGAGAGTGGCGTGGTACGTCTCGGGATCATAGCTCAGGATCTCGTTCATCCAGCCCTGGAAGGACGGCACTAATGAGGTTAGGTCGCACAATTCCCTCAGAGGTTTTAGTGTTACCATTCAGTGGTTTAAAAACTCATTAGAGTCTTCTTGAATCTTAAACCGTTGGAGCGTATTTTCAGATTTTATTTTACTTAAACAGTTCTAGTTGCGATGTTGTTTCAGTGAACAAAAAAAACCCAATAAGTCGGACCCATAATTCAGTAAAAATGTTACTGTTTTTAGATATTGGATGAAAAAAAAAAGACAAAAGAGTTTACTTCTTTCTTAATGTTGCATTAATTGAAATCTAAGTCCCCCTTCATGTGAATGGTATGCTCAATAAGAGTAGGAAGCTATGTGCTTCATGTCAGACACTCCAAAAGCAACACTGCTCATGACCTGTTGTTTACTAACTTGTGGTGGTTAGAAATGACACTACGGACTTCAGCAAAGCCGGCCTATGTCTGGGTTACTGAGGAGTGCTGTTAACCCTCTGGAGGCAGGCGTTTGCAACACTAAAACCTACCTACCTGGTTACTCCACATACATATTTCATGAGCATTTTTTAACTCAGAAGTACCCCTGAAGGACTTAGTTGTTAGTCCTTTTGTAAAAAAAACTTATTTTGAGCCTGAGAGGGTTAAACACAAACTGGAATATGGGGGCTGGCTTTTCCCACCCAGCCCAGGCCAAGCTGACCCAAGTGTAAATTCACCTTAAGAAGCTTCCCTAAGTGTTTCAGTATACTTTATCCAAACAAAATGGATGAAGAACTGTGTTCAGAGTATCTCATTTGTTCAATTAAAAATCATAGGCTGGCTGACTGACCTTATAAATTTCTGGTTCTTTAATATCCACCCTGGCAGCATTCTCCAGCTTCCCCTTGTTTCTGGAACTTCCAACTACCCTTCCAGAGCGTTTTGGTCCTGCCAGCCACACAACACCGATGGCTAAATAGAATCCAAATGCGAGTCCGAGCAGCAACCCTCTGACGTAACTTGGCAGAGGTAAAACAAAACATGCATAAACTAGAGCAGTTAGGACCATAAGGGTATAGAATGGGACAGCTGGTGCAGCCTCAGCATCTTCACATTCATCATCACAGCTTGGGTCAGAACTGCCACTTAGTGGCGCTTGACTACCAGTTCGAGAAAGTCCATTGACACCATCGCCCTCGGTATCAGTGCAAGTCTCAAAGTCCTCGCTGGTCAGTATACAAAAGTCCTCCTCCTCCTGTTTTGCGAGAGCAGACATGGAGAGTAAGGATGATTTAGAGGGGCTCTTAGTGTTGGCAGGCAGATCACTGAGTGACTCAGCTGAAACGGAGGTCCAGCTGTTGGGACTCTCAACCTCCAGTTCAGGTCTTTCTTCCTCTTTGATGCAGCAGTTGTTGTTTTCCAGGGAACCATTGACCAAGGAGAGAGTGGACAGCTCTGTGGCGCTGGTTGAAAGCCCTTTGGGCCGGTAAATGCTGCCACCAACTAAACCGCCACTTTTTTCATCCATGATCTTACTCAGCAGCTGGAGAGGCTCGGCAATGGCTTCAGTGAGTCGGCGCTTGGTGTCTTCGATTCGAGCTTCGACTTCTGAGACTTTAAAGAAGCTTCGGTTATCTGGCGAGGCTAACGGCGAAGAGGGGGCAGTTTTCGAGTCACTTACTGACGTCACGGAGGCAGAAGCCATTCGGGATTGTGCAAATTGCCTAAAAAGTTGCAGGTTAAGGCGAGAATCGAGAAGACGTTGAGTTGTTGAGGAGGAAGAGGAGTCTTGGGATGTATCTGAAGACAAAGATTTGACTAGACTTTTCATGAGAGGTCTCTGTCTGACTGAGGGAGCTGGAGCAGAAGTGACCCCATCACGAGCGTCTACATCAGATGATAGAGACTTCACCAGACTGGAGGGAAAGCTCAAAGACTTGATAGGAGAAGAACTGATAGTGGAAGGTTTTTGCTCAGGGATGTGTGAGGATAAAGCTTGTGTTGGAGAACGGTTAGTGTGATTGCTAGAGCTGGGAGAACATCTGGATGAATCAGGAATGACGGGAACCTCAGCAGCAGGATCAAACATTTCCTCAATTGCCTCTACAGCTGTCACAATGTTTGAGTCACCCAGAGCAGCCGAGGCAGAGAAGTCACTTGTACTGTACAGCTCGTCTTCCTCCTCCTCTTCCTTCTTTCCCAGCGAGATGTGAACAGTGATGTTCTCCTTTGATAGTGGTCCCTGGGCGTGCAGCTTAGACCCCACGACAGGAGGCGGGTTATCCGAGGAGTGAGAGCTCTCCGCATGGCTCGGATGCTGGCTGGTCATTTCAGCCTGAAAAACAGAGAGCAGGAATTAGACATCAAGCAATTCCTTCATCATCTCTTACAAAATAATACCTGTTTGATTCAATTACTGAGACATTAGACAATGTTCTGGTCCAAGATTTTCAAATGTAAGACTTTTCTGCTCCTCAACACAAACAATAATGCCTAATAACTTTAAATAAGAATACATACACTGTAAAAAAGACAAGTCGTACGTAGGGATAAACGATATACCAGTTGGCTATTTTACTTGTATATCGGCATCAAACTTCTTTAGTGGAGCCGATTTAAAAACAGGCACATCCGTGGGCAGCCTGGTGCTGCTCCTGTATTCCTCTTAAATGTATTTTTACATATCTGAAAAACATCCAAGTGCTCTAAAACAGCTGAGATTCCTTTTTTATTTACCTGCTTTGGTCTGTTTATTGATTTATTTGATTAACTAAGATAAAAAAAACATTTTATACTGTGCAGTAGGGCTGGACAATAATTCAATACCTACACATATCTATAGACATGAAAAAGCTGGGTCAATAACAACTTCAACAAAAAGTTTCTTTTCTTTTTGTGATAACCTATCAGGTGGCTTAATACTAGACTCTACTTACTCCCAACCAATCCGAAACACAGACTCTGTCACGCTCCATCAGCAAGGCCTTCCCTTTCAGACCTAACGAACAGCTCATGACTTAAACAAGATGTTGCAGCAAGAGATGTAGGATATTGTCCCGAAAATATGTTACAGTAGTTCACCATTAAGCCAAAAAACGTTTGCTACATTTGAAGAGAATTGATAAAAAACAACTTGATTATCATAGTGTGTACATAAAATAGCCAGGACTGAATATAAAATATATTTTCTAACATAAAAAAAATAGCAATAATTATTATTATCGATCGATCAATATATATCAATCATCGATCAATACATATATACATATACATATATACATATACACATATACATACATATACATATACACATACATACACATACATACATACACATACATATATATATATATATATATATATATATATATATACACATGCATATTTATATATACATATACACATATACATATGTATATATACACATATATATGTACATATACACATATATATGTACATATACATTCATATATATTTACATATACATATATATACATATACATATAGACATATACATACATACACATATTTACATATATATATACATATATACACATACATATATATACATATATACACGTATACATATATACACATAGACATTTACATGTACATATACTTGTATATACATATAATATTTATGATATGCACATGTCTCTCCTCTGATTGGCTAACAGCAATGCAACGCTTTGCTGTCTTGTTTGTAGAGTCCCTAATGGTTAGCTTCTACTAGCGGGGTGCTCTGCTCTGTCCTGGTCACATAATCCAAACAGCCCTTTGCAGTCACAAGTCAAGGTGGGCGGGGCCAGGAATACAAATTTTCTACATGAAGTAGAAGGGCCTGACTTCTTTCTGACTTCTTCCCATCCATTTACTTTTTGTGGTAAATGCAGGCAATAGAGCTCCGGGAGTTGACATCACTTCTCCCAGCATGCAACAGTTCAAATCGAAGCAGCACCATCTTGGCAGGCAGAAGGCCGCAGATGGGCTATCTGTTATTGTCAGAAAACTCAGTCAAACGGGAAATGTGGTAGATTCCTGTTGTGCCCCAGGATGCCAGAACAGACGCGGACGAGATGAGGGAAGAGACTTCTACAGGATTCCCCAAGATCCAGAACGCCACAAACGTTGGATCATCGCAAAGAAACGCACTAGTGACCGGGCTAAAATGAAGCTGTGGGATCCCGAGAGTAAAGGTTTTCGCTTATGCAGCAGGTATTTAAACCAACGTTTCCTCAACTGTGTATGGTATTTATTTTAAATGCTTTTATTATGATTCTTGGTGGGCTTCCTAAACTTATTTTGGCGTGGCTTTTTCTGTCTTATTACTCATAGCAACAAGTAAACACACGTAAAACGTTGCCTCGTGAGTTCTGCGTGCTGCCGTTTACGTGTTTTATGATAACAGCAATTAACCGGCTAAGCTGTATTTCATTTTTAAGCAATGGTTGATCAGTTGTCAGATCACACATAAAAAGCACTTTGGATTGCTATTATCTGTCTCACCGAGACAGATCTCAGACAGATACTGAGACGCTCCTGCCTGACATATTTATTTTATTCACGGGAAAAAAAAAATTAGACTAGTGATTTCTCTTGGAGTTCAGTTTATACATTCAAACAGCACAGCACTCTATTTAAACTACTTACATGTAAATCTGTTATTTGTCCATCCATCCATCCATTTTCATCCGCTTATCCGGAGTTGGGTCGCGAGGGCAGAAGCCTAAGTCGAGAGGCCCGGACTTCCCTCTTCCCAGCTCCCCCGGGGAAATCCCAAGGCGTTCCCTGGCCAAGTCCGCTCTGACAGCTTTTGGCGTTTTTAAAATGTATCCCAGGGGTATGGTATGGGCCGGAGATGTTTAGTCTATTTAATTTCTGACTATATAAAACGATTTCTTCGGTTTTAAAGTGTGAAGTAAACTCCGACGGAGTAAAATCCAGGCCGATCCCGTTCATTTTGTTTACCTTTGTTGCCTGCCAACATGGCGTCTACTCTCTGAGAGTCACGTGACGTCCGGAGCTCTAATGGGGTGGAGGAGAATTTTTATGTTTAGAATACAAATGAAACTCAAGAGTAATCCATCGTATTAAAGAACTAAATATTACACCGTTTCTCAATGAACAAGACCTTTAAACCAAACCTTAGCTGGTTTGGTTTTATTCAGAGCAATCAGGCATCTTACTAAGGTGCACTTTCCAGGGTAAGAATACAAACGCATTCACACAAATAAAAAAAGGCTATAAATATACAAATATAGGCAAGATTAAAAACCCAAGCTCAACACATTCAACCTGAGAACAAGAGCTAAACTATACGGATGCTAAGGCTTCCCACTGAAACCACAAACTTTACATAACTGTCAGTAGTAAAGACGACAGAGCACCTTTTTGCATCCTCTGGCCACATCACAGACTACCTGTAGCACCTTTATGTGTGCACATTCAAGGACTTCCACTATTCTTATAAAGGTGTTGTCAGGTGTTGTAATTACATTTACATGAAAAATCATCAACCAAAGGCCAGATAATATTTATAAACTGAGATTTTTTGAAATTGCAAAGCTTGTTGGTGCCTCTAGGATTGTATTACTAACAAAAATTAAGATTTTCTTTAGGTTGGTTACGTGAAATACACCCTTAAATAAAATAACTTTTATATGAAGTGTCAAACAAAATAGATTGAGTATTTAAAGGGGCCATATTATGGAAAATCCACTTTTTGGAGTCGTTTACCAGGTGATACTGTTATTCCCTTATGAGGAAAAACAACATTTTGGGCTGCAAATTTTCCAATTTCAGTTGTTAATTTTGAGTTTTACTTTGAAAATCCTGTAAAGCCTTAATGGAAACTAATCTCGTCATCAGGCCCTGCTCCTCTCCTGGAAGCGAGTCTCTGGTCTGAACCCGGTCTTCCTTGGCCAGCTCAAGGTTATGTGGCTTAGGTGACTAGCATCATGTGGCAGACTTGGTAGTCTTGGTAGTTAGAGTGCTGGGCTAGGATGCAGTTTTGCGCAGCTTTGCATCCTGGTCTGAGCATTAACGTTTTTCTTCTATTCTAGCTACACTAGCCAGTATGATGTTTTTAGCCCTTTATTGGTAAACAGTTAAAAATAGGGAATGTTTTTATTTATCGATTTTTTTTGCTAGGGTTAGGGTTTTTTAGCCAGAGAGTCCATGTGAGACGAGATGAGTAAATCAACTAAAATGCTGCTTGGAAGTGACCAAATTCAAAGATGTTTAGGGACAAAACATATTGCAGAAAATAATCAATAAAACTAAAATATAAAACAATGAAATCTGCGTCAACTGGCTAAATAAATTACTGCCACATCAGCAAATGACAAAACTGAGATGGCCTTATCCACTGGACTACCATAGCAGATACAGTAACCAACTTGCCTAAGACGCTGTTGTAGACGCGTTTAGTCAAAGCAGGCGTGGGCAGAGTTTCACTGAAACAAAGCGTTTTATAAGCGTTATATAGCTTCACTGGCTGCCAGTGAACTTCAGAGTTCATTCCAAGATCCTGGTTCTGATGTTTAGGGCTTTACATGGACAATTAACTTGCATTTAATAGTGCCAATGGTAATATTTTGTCATGTACTATGTCTACCTTTGGTAGGGGGCAAAAAACAACATACTTAGGTTTAAAATAGCATGTATTTTAACACGTAATAAGTTTAAAAATTGTATTTCCTTCAGAATAAACTAGTTTGTAAAGCATTCAGTATCAGTCTAGAATCACGTTTCCATATCAAGGTCAAGTATCCTGGCAGCTGAATGCATGAGATGCACAAAATGAGCGTGCACGTACAATAAAAACAACCCATTGATCTCACTGTCTACAAATCCATCCATACCTTAACAGAGTGTCAAGTTGACACACACATTCAAAATGGATCCACGGCAGGTTTATTCTGCAAGCTGCACAACAGGTTACTATGGAGAAGCAGCTGATGGCGGTGCAGTGTTTATATACAACCCTAAAACAACCCTAAAATTTTCTTTGAAAAATAAAGTAAGCTTATCCTCGGTCGACATTTGCTTTGTGGACTGTTGTAAAATCCAAACAAAGGACATCACATATTCTGTATTGGAATCATTTAGAGTAGTATGTGGTGACAAAACAAATTTCTTGCTCCATTTCGGACTCTGTTGTAAAAATAGAATAAAGGTGCTGCCTTGCTGTTACTTGTGTCCTTGTGTTTTATCTGAACAGCAGAAGTGGCATCATGCTTTCCAGACTCAGCTTCTCTTCTCTCTGTCACACAGGTCATGGGTTAGCTTGTTAGCTAGTCAGGAAGTCTGCCAGTCACCTCCGTCCCCAGCTAG